TGAGGTAGAAATGTTTGAATATGAATTTAATAATTTACCATATTATAACTTTAATTACAAGCAAATACACACATACACAAATAAATAAAAAATAGAATTACACATGGTGAGGAAATCCAAAAAAAAACACCAAGTGACACCTGAGAAGTTGACTGCATGTTAAATTTGCGTTTCCTGTAATGATTACCAATCCGTCGACGATCTCTATATACAGGCTGACGTTTTCTTTGCCAAACTTTTCGTTGTTGAAATTTCGTCTTTAGTTGTATATGCCAAATTTGAGAACCCAGAAAAGGTAGAACAATGCTTGGTCCAGTAAAATTTCCGAAATTGAAGGAAGTTAAATATTTTTTCCCTAATCAATGTTGTCAAATTATTCAATTATTCAATTAAGTGTTTTTTCCATTGGTTTACATTCAAATTTTCTCTCAAATTGCATGTATTGTTTAACACCCAATTAAACGCCATTTCAAAAAAGGTTGTCCTTCAAAAATCTTAAACCTTAAACATTGAGCGCGCAAGGTATGATGGTCATTGCTTATTTGGAGTTTGAGATTAGATATTGGTTTAATGAATCGCCCTATACATCGACAGACGACAGTGTTCATTATATACAGCTATTTCAATTAAGGTTTTCCCCCGAGCAAAGCGGAATAGTCGAATACGAGCGCGAAAGGCTGCTGGGGATCGCTAATAAATTCATTCATTTATTAGCGAATCCCAGCAGCCTTTCGCGCTCGTATTCGATTTTTCCACTTTACTCGGGGGACAACCTTAATTGAAATAGCTGTAAACCCTATAGTATTGTTTCAAAGCAAATTGCCCGAGTTTAAGGCTTAAAATAGGAAGTTACACATTATACCTTGCACGCTCAATTTTTAAGGTTTAAAATTTTTGAAGGACAACCTTTTTGGAATTAGCTGTATATATTTATATTTATCACATACTTTGCACCTTTATCAGAGCAATAACGGGGTGACGTAAAAACGATATGCTACTGATATCGCTTTTTATCACTGATATAATTTTTGTGTCACTGATATTGCTTTTTGTCACTGATATCGGTTTTTGTCACTAATAGAGAGTTTTTAAAAGCTTCGCGTTATACGTCAAACGGCAAACGCCAAGCAAAGAAAAATTTTACGATATCAGGCAATAAATAGTAAATTAGCTTGCTGTTTTAAAACTGAAATATATAATTATTCTTTCGACACAAGAAAGAAAATATGAAACGAAAACGTTCAACAAAAATTTTGCCAAGAAAATTCAAACCTGCCGTTTGCCGTTCCCGGAAACGTGAAGCTTAAACTCTCTAATATCGCTTTTTGTCCCGCTATTTTAATAATTGTTGCATTGGGGCAATGATTGGTATTCTATAATAAATTCTGACCCTGATAGAGCACAAGTATATAATAAACAGGTTATCATAATCGGGAGGAGGCGATGTCAGTTTTGGTGCTTTCAGGACGATATCATAAATGTCCCTCGTTCATTGACTCGTGACATTTATGATATCGTCCCTCAAGCTGGCCTCACCCCTCATATGTATATTATTAAATTATTAAAATTAATAATATTACTGTCGATGCAATAGAAGTGTTGATAAAATATTGCACCAATTCCTTTCCTCAAGTTGATCAATTCATTTCATAGAAAATTGATCAACTTCCTGTTACTTTTAGGTGAACCAATTAGATTTCGTTTCTGAACCGATTGGCCAATAGGAAACGCACAGAAAGTAAAAAGAAATTTAAATTCGTATGAATTGATCAACTTGAGGAAATGAATTCATGCAATATTTTATCAACACTTCCATTGCATCGACAATAAATGCAACCCTCGTATAATTTCGACGTACTTCAAATCCCTCTTTCTGTCTTGACCCACTTTATTGCATATAATCACTGAAATCTTATGCAATATTCTTCTGATGCAGAATAATTAATCATGAATAAGAATATTACTACAGTCTACAGTCTACAGTCTACAGTCTACAGAACAATTACAATCGAAACATGGGTACATTTCACACAATAGACTGGTGTTAGTCATATAGTAAATTTTCAATATCCATATATATTTGTAAACGAAATTCACGAGCGTACCGTGATGACTTGACCGTGAACACTAAAATTCCCGCTTCGATTATATGCCTTTACATAAGCTGACTGTATTGTTAATAACGAAGATAAAAAAAAACAATATGCGGTAGCGATACTGCTATGTATATACAATATGGTGTGATTTAACTTTAAGTATACATTGCTTTGCGTTATTTCCAATTTAAGAATAAAATCGACATATAAATTAAATCACAGGTAAACGGTTGACATACGGGAGTCAATTGTATGACTAAGTTCCGTAGTAGCCTTTTTAACAAATTTAATAATAGAAATAACATACCATATCCATTCTTGATATTTCACAGTCCGTTTACATTTCTTTGGATGAAAAAAGGTTAAAAATTTGTTAAAATTTTCGATTTTCCCCAAATTTAAAATTTAAGCGATACATCTCAAAATAACCACATTTAGCAGAGATTAGGTAATACCGGATGTTATGTTCACGTGATGAATGAGCGGGATTTGATTGGCTAATATAGAATAACAAAAACTACTCCACTTGGTAAACATAGTTTATGATTTGCTGATCGAACAAGCAAAACATTATCCAACGACCTGTTGTTTGATTACTGAGCCAAAGAAAAAAACAGGTAGCGTAAAGCGAAAATCTTTCTTTCCTTTAACGAAAAAACTCTTAAAATCCTATAGTAACATAACAACAAACTAATTATTGAAGACTCTTGTTTCGATTTGTTGTGACAGTCAATTGAGACACTGACTTCTTGTGATAACTCATGTATATTTTCACAACTATTAATGTTATCGTGCACTGATCGTCTGTAATGTTTAGCAAAGTTTCAAATGATTAGAATATTTTATTCAGCAATCTTCAAACTTAACATGATATTTGAATAAGTTATCTAGAAAAAAACTGAGCCGTAAGTTTTCTTATCACACCTTTAATATCGCACATGTCTAAATATCTCCGAATTCTAAGTATAACTAATATTTTCACGCAATTTCAAGAGTTCTTTCGTTTAAGAGAACTTATACAAATTTTTGCTTTATATCCACTTTTATAAGACCTCCCTTGCTTAGTAAAGTATTTTGTTTCACTAGAAATACATGCATTCCGTAATCCCTTGCCCTTTCTAACAAAATATCTATAGTTCTCAAACATTGTTTCAACATGAAGTATTTCTTATTAGGCCACCGCTGACCAAATGGTGCATGGTTCGCCACTCGCAAGAATTACCTAATGGCAGACGTTTTCTTTTCAGTGTAAATCATATACGCAGCACAATATTTCCCCGTATAAAAAATAAGTTCTTAAAAATATTAAAATGATGCACGAAACGTCATTTAATAAATGTAATATTGCCATAATTTGTTTCAAAATTATTTTTAACAAAATTATTTGCCCTCTTAAGTTTCAAGCTTGTAGTTAATAAAAGGTATAGTGGATAGAGAAGAAGGTAATTTATGATACCTGGTTGAACTTTATTAATTAATTAATTAATTTGCATATCCACTTAACATATCAGCCATTGTGGATGTCCATTATGCTGGGTACGATTTGTCTCTTAAAAGTACAATTTTGATATTATTATAGTTAAGATTCTTTAAATAAATATGTGTGTGAGAGATTATCAGTACCCTCTAGGATAGGGTAGTAGTTAAACTCAGGGAAATACGGCACAGAGATTAAGAATACACATATATCTCTCAATAATCTATAACCGCTAGTTATGTTGGGAGATATGGAACTAAGGCCTGTTTCAAACGTCGCGATTCTCATGTGCCGAACGCATTAAAAACAATAGATAATGAGTTCAAATGTCTCATTAGGGCCATTTATACGGGACAAAATAAGACATGACTTACATAAGACAAAATTCTTATGTAAGACGCGTCTTGGATAAGACGCGTCTTACATAAGAACAGGACTTTTAGCTGTTCTTATTTAAGTCGCGTCTTAAATAAGAAATTTTAGACAAAAATTCTAACTACACATGCCCGAAACTTGAAACAACGTAAAATTATTAGCCTTGCATATTAAAACAAAAACAACCGAAACAACATTACAGCTATAGCGAGTAAAGAAGAATAAAGCCGTAGAGAACCATTTATGCGATAACTCCGCTTATATAAGACGCGTCTTATGTAAGTCGCGACTTATTTTGTCCCGTATAAATGGCCCTATTATCTATTGTTTCTAATGCGTTCGGCACATGAGAAGCACGACGTTCGAAACAGGCCTATAAGTGCACAGTGGAATGTGTAAAAAGGTAACTGGGGGAAAGGAGAACTAAATGATAAGGAAGATGGCAATTCTTAAATAAATTTTAGTCAAGACAATACGAATTAGGCTACCTGTTATTTTATTTTCAAAATAAGTCAAAATACAGCAGTATGGGTAAAAAGTATCCCATATTTCTTCAAGACAAAAGCCAGATATTTTGGTATATTGGTATTCAGAACCAGTATAATAGTGTATATTAGTATCTGGTTGTCCTCTCTGGCCAAACCTTCTCTCCATCATATAAAAATGTCTATATATCAAAATTAATAAATTGTAAAATTAAGTACATTGCAATTTTAAAATAATATATAAATAATTACTATTATTGATAATCTGACATTAGATTAAAATCATAACTATAAATTAAATTATCTCTTATTTCTTGATTATTCTTTGATTTCTGAATGATTTATACTATCCCCAGTTTCTTCCTCTCATGTTCCCTGTTTTCCAAATTTTCACATCCCCATTGGTTGGTTTTCGCTTCCCCCCTACTACAGTTCACCATTTCCCGTTTCCCCCTTCTTCCCTCAGTTTCCCCACTGACTCTCCACTTTTAGAACTCCATGTTTTTTCCCACTACCTATTTGCGCCACTCCCTTTTTTGCTCCACTCCCAGTTAGATATATACTGGATCATTTTGAGAGGTGTAAAATGTTACTTGATATTTTCTCTTCTTCTTTCATCAAAATTGATTCAATTGTTTTGTGGTCAATACCGAATTTTTGCCCGATAATTTTGGCAAGAATCATAGACCTTTTTACAGCTTTATTCATTTTAATGATCATTTCTCTGATCTTTGTCTTGCTATCTTCACAAAGGACTCCGCGTGTGCTGTCGTTTTTGAACGAATTTGTATTTGCTCCACTTCCATTCTCACTATGCTTTTTATATTCGTTTTGGTGCTCATCTCGAATTTTGTGTACCAAATACTTAAGTGGCCTGTATTTTCTCGTTTGACGCACTGTAAAACTCATACCCATTCGGTAATCTTCATTAATATCCTTTCCTTTACCATATTTATGACGGTGTTCACCACTGACGTTTGGAAATTCATTCTTTCTATCAATACCTACATGTTTAATGAGAAAATTGTTACATAGGTAGGTTGAGGAATGGCATTTCTTTCTTTTCCTTAAATTCTTACTTTTTATCCTGTTTATTCTCTTTTTGTTTGCGAGAGAAACATATTCCAGTAATTTGTGTCTGGATCTTCCTTTACGTTTTGTGTGCCAATAAAAGGAATCGGTGCGATCATCTTGGTCACTAAAAAAGTTCTTCGGATGAGATTTTATTTTTTCAATTCTTTCATTTGATGTTCCGGTATATTTGGTTCTCCGCTTTTGTTTCGGTGGGCCTGTTTTCATTCTTAAATGTAAGCCCAAGCAATTATGATGACATGGGGTGTCTAAGTGTTTTATTTTTCTTGTTTTCTTGTTAGTTCGCCGTCTTTTCTCTGCTATTTGTCTATCTGGTTGTTGCTCATGAAATTTATACCTTCTTTTATGGTTGGCAAATCTGGAATAATGCTGTGGTGTGTTCTTGCTAAAAATGCTTCTGTAAGCTTTTTCCAAGGAGTGTTTATGGTTACATCGTCCAACTTTCAAATGCCGGTGATTATTGTTTTGTTGATGACGTTCCTTTTTCTCCAATATGTTATTTTTAACTTTATGGTTCCTTTTGTGAGATCCAATGTTTTTATGCTTTATGATGTGAAATCTACGATCGTGCTCTACAACAAAATGAAATGTACAATTTATTAAGTACAAAGTTAAATTATGAGAAAATGTTTATTACCGGCGTATAAAATCCCAAGAGTATTGAAAATCAAGGCGCTAGCAGAGTTAGTCACATAATTTGAAGTCTTTTATACGCCAGTAATAGGCAGCTTTCGAGTTTGTTAGATTACTTCTCGAAAAAACTTATATTTAAAGTGAAATTCAAGGCAATAATCGAGTTAGAATTCATGGGAATTATTAATGAGTTTGAGAAGCATCTTTCATGTACTATTTAAAACATGAGCAGCAGTGTTTTATCAGATATGAAGATACGAGGCGAACCCGAGTATCTTTAGGTCTGATAAAACACGCACTGTAAATGTTTTAAATTGCTTCAAAAACGATCGATCTAGTAAGTTCATTGGCAAAGTAATTTTCAAAACATACGACTTACACAACGTATACTTTGAAAAAAACCATCAAATTTTGTTTTAGAATGCATGCGTTTGATTTACAAATCAAGGGAAATCTCTATCACATATAAAGATACGACACGCTTATGATTTTTCTTTGCGTTTGCCTCATGAATTATTAATGGTTTGAATAAAACATATTGATATTCATGTTTCGCTCGCTACTCTGGTTTAAATAAATTGTTACAAAGCCCAGTTGAATTGTAATCAAGACCCAGCGTTTCGACACTCCAGTCTAGTGTCTTCATCAGGGGTGATTTAAAGTTGCAATCGTGGCTTCTTATGTTGTCACATGTGAATTACTAACTTAATTCTTATTAACGTGAGGTTTGTGCAGAGAAATATTGGACCGAGGTCTTTTTTGTACAGACGAGCACATAGGGCGATCGAGGTTTGTACAAAAAGACCGAGGTCCGATATTTTTCTGCATGTAGGCTACATACCGAGAAAGCGAGGTTAATAAAAAGTTTATTATATGGCATTTACAGGCATTATACTTGAAACAAACAAGAAATGCATGATTTGAAATGCATACTTGTAGCGTGGTACACAGTCATTTAGTCGAAGAAAACAAAAAATACCAATGCATTCCTTCTTTTCCACTAAAAACCATTCGCAGACATCTTATTAATAACAAATTAAATTATAATTTTCAAATTTTCAATTAGCTTTTCTGTTTTGTTTTAGAATGCATGCGTTTGTTTTTACGTAATGGACTGGCGGTAATGTTACGCGCGCGAAAATAATGGGCCGCTGAAAGTGCTTCTCAACCAATCACAGTCCACCATTTCACCGGAAGTGATGCTATATACAATATTTGATAAAGTACTTGAAATCCGAATATAAGGACTGCATTGAAATTCCGAGTACTGCATGGAGACTGACTGTGAAGACTTGCAATCTCGCAACCAGGTTGAAATGAAAAAGTGGCATCTCATACTCGTAAATCACTATTTACAGTAAAAATGAATTAAATTTAATCCAGTCCTGGAAATAAACTAATTTTGTTCCAGTCGTATGTCAGGATGAATATGGTTTTACCAACGTGATCATTGGTGAAGGAGTTGTTGCGATGGTTTCAGGAAGAAAATAGTAAAATACTGTGAGCCAAAAACAACGCAAAATTTAGTTAACAAACTTTGCCTGTATAAAGCTTAGTCATCTAAAGTCTTTAAAATGACTTTTCAAATACATATTTTGAGTGCCGGCAACCGTGAGTCAGCTATATTTCTTCTCAACTCCAGGGTAACGATAAATCATAAAAACCTGCATTAATTTTGTGAATGCTTTATTAGTTGAATACGAAATTTGAATATAACTAACACAATGCTCATTCCCCCATTGTATACAGCTGATTCAATTAAGGTTGTCTTTCCAAAACCTTAAACCTTAAACTCTGAGCGCGAAAGGGATGATGGGTTTTCACCTCTTAGGCCCTTAAACTCGAAAAATTGCCTATGCAGCAAGTATGTTTTCTGCCGTGAGTTTTCTATATGTCTTAGGTATTCTTGCAAAGTCAAATTTCAAAGTTTATGAGTTCAATAAGCAATAACCCATCATCCTTTGCGCGCTCAGAGTTTATGATTCCAGTTTTTGGAAGGACAATCTTTTAAATTGAATTAGCTGTATACAACAATGATGTATTAGTAAAGTTGCCAGAAGTACTTCTTGAATAGAACAATCGATACTGTCTATATAGGCAATATATTTTGAACCTTACTATCATTTTGCCTTCTTCTATGTTTTGAATGATGCAGGAATCTTTGTATTGTGTGAGGAATAAATGATGCTTGTACATTTGACAACTTTTGATGATCTTTATTTCTATATTTATACTCCATGTATGAACCAAACAATTTGGAGTGGTTTGCCTTGTTGTGAAAAATATTATTTTCTCTGAGTTCTTTCCGTTTTCTTTTTACCAATGCTTGGTGCTGAAATTTATTTCGCAGTCTTCTTTTATCAATGTTTTCGGACTCACTATTTTTATTATTTGTAGTGCTTTTAGAAAAGACATTTCTTCGAGAGTTCTTTACATAACGTCGTTGACCTTGAGTATGGTAAGAATTTCTATTGGAATATAAAATGAATTTTTTTCGATTTTTGTTATGTCTTTTATGGCGCTGATTATTCAAGTTATGTTTGAACGACTCTTTTTCTTTACCGTGTATCCAATGCAGCTGCTGCAATTTTAGGTGTTTATGAAGATAATGAGGAAGTTGGTTCTTGTACGTTATGCTTCGAGCTTCTCTTCTAAACACCGTAGCGATTTCACCTTTAGAAACATTTTCGCTCTCTTGTTGTTGCTTCAACATATTAAAATATTCCCTTCCTGGTCCACTCGCGCTGTTATCCAAATCTTTTCGGCGAGAAACGTTTACTCCCGACGTAATTTGCTTGAAACAACTTAACACTGAAAACAAATAAGAAGAATAAAAATTGTATTTGAATGTTATTAAAAAAATTTGAATGGCGTTTAATCGTTTTTGTCACATGACGAAATAAAAAAGTTTCATGTTATTCTGACCTGCAGAAAACAACGAAAAATTCGTTGTTTCCAGCCGGATTCGAACTCGTATATTCAGTATCTAGAATATTTAGTATCTAGACGCTGCTCCACCAATTGAGCTATCGAGTCAGCAAAGTATAGCGATAAGTCAAATGAATGAAAAGGATCGAATTGACCAAATTAACACCTTGTGTATCAGTTACAGATCGGCTGCTCATGGTTTATATATTAAATAATAACGTGCCAAAAATCGCAGGTGCCCAAAAAGTTCATCACGTGGTACAGTATGAAATCAAAGTCGCGTGTGCAAAATTTGAGGGACCAATTTGTCATTCTAGTGATTTCCATAATATTATTTAGGGTCAAGATGAAACATTTTCAATATGAAAACACCAGCCAGCTTACTGGGATGAAGTCATCAGTGACGTAGCCAGAGGGGGGCTCCCGGGATCCGCCCTCCACCCCTCTGAAAAATTGTGTCCTCCTTGGAAAAATTCAAACTGGTACAAAGCATGTGCGTTGTATTTTATTTCTTAAAATGTAAATTTGATATTCTGCTATGCTTTAAATGTTCTGGGTTAGTTTGTAATTAAGTAGAGTTGTTATGTGTTAAATTAAAATCACCCAACATAATAAGATAGCCCCTAAAATGCTGAAGGTGGCACCCTGCTGACTTCAGATTTTCTCGCCTCCTCCATCACCCCCCGGCCTACTTGACTACGTCAATGGGAAGTCATAAAACCTAATATTGGTTTTTGCTATTTAATTTATTAACATTTTTAGTTAGTTTTCTATTTGTTTTGCAATCAAGTATTAAATAAATTAAGAAAAACCAAAATAGTTAAATAGTTGTGTTCGATGACTGAAATGTACAAGTTTTGCAAGCGTTGATTGGAGAACTACATTCTTATATTTTTATTTGTAATTTTATCTCGGTAAGTGTCGGCAAGCAGGATGAAAAACTCCATATGAACGTATGGAAAGATCATTTCGTTAGGCAAGACACTCGGTAAGACGAATTGTATTGTAAACAGGGCAATAGATCCTGAGGAATGGGCGTCCAGTTATTATAACTTACCGAGGAAAATAACTATATCTTCAAACTGACAAGCAAGGAGCAATTTCATTATAATTTAGAATTTTTCCTAAAATGGAAGCACGAAAAAGAAAATTATACCACGCCCTTTCACGCCCAGAAACTGGCACAGGAAAATTCATAGTAACTAATCAGTTGACATTATATAGGGCTAGTCAAGAATTTTCAAGTATTTAATATTTGATTTATTTCTTTAAATTCACTGGTTGGAAACTCAACTTTCACAATATAGACATAATCTACTGACAACTTTACTAGCTACACGCGTATATGATTCGACAAAAATAACACTGCACTCTGCTGAAGTTCTTCTCCCAATGATCATTTAGTGTAAAATGTATTTAGTTACATATGGCAACTGTTCTTAGAACATATTGTAAAAACAATTCTTTTGTAGGAAACCAATAGACAAAATTATCCTGCGTCTATTAACACAACACAAGACGCCTACAGTCTAAGCACGACAATGTACAATAGCCACCTTGCTTTAATAAATAAAACTTACCTGCTATTTACAAGTTTTGCAACTTTATTATATTATTTTGCCAATCGTTTTCTTCAGGTATTAACCATTTTGAAAGACAGAAAAAAAAGAACCATAACTTTTTCGAACATAGATGCACTTCATTGAAATCTACGTTATTATATTAGCATGGACTGGATTGGAATCAATTGCCAAAGCTACACATGGCATAATTCGCCGTTAAATACAATATTATTATAGCAGGTATAAAGGGAGTGGTCCGTGGTTAGGTATACTTCATGACTATTTATTTCACATTATATAAATCTATGACATTGAATACAAAAGCCAAATATTTTGTCAATTTAATCAAGTAAAGACGATACTCGTCTTATGTTCTACTGTTAACTCATGGTTTTCATCACATTCATCTGATTGTTATATCACGTGATTGCTCTAATAGTTATTTTAAAACCACATTTGTTCACCAAATGAAGTGCCCATGCAGTTTTGAAACGTCGGCGTTGTCTTAATATTGATAAATGCATTGATTAATTTGATAAAATTTTAACGAATATAATTACGGGAACCACTCAGTATGTTTATAAAATACAAAAGAACAGTAACTCCGAATAACATTTTGTTTTGATTTATTGAATCTACGCAGGGACGCCGGAACGATAATAGGGCAAAGGGGGGCGGACGCACACCAAGGGCACCTTTACTGAAAAATTTTTTTTCACTGCAAAATTTTTTGGCGATCTTCCTCCCCCCCCCGTCGCCAAAAAAATTTCGGTCAGTGTACCATTTTAGGGGTCAAAAATTTTTTCCGGACACACAAAAATTTTCCGTGAAGCCAAAAATTTTTCCGGATATCTTAAATTTTCGCCATTTCTTCAAAATATTTTTCTAAATTCCAAAAATTTCCCAAAATTTTTATAAATATAAACTATAAATTACCTGAATCTCGTGATTTTCCTACAAAAAGCATCGTTGGAAATGTGATTTATCACGTATTATTTTACAACTAAAAGGGCACTTCTGCCCCCCCTGCCCCCCCTAGCAAAAGGCAAGGGGGGCAGCCGCCCCCCCCTGCCCCCCCAGTTCCGGCGTCCCTGAATCTACGTTTCGACTAGATTGTAGTCATCTTCAGGATTAGTGTAAGATTACAAATACAGCTATATATAAAGAGAAGAAAGGCGGAGCTTAATGTCAGTGAAATATGATCAATTCTTTAGATGCTTTAGCGCCATGGTTTACTTCCGGTTTCGCCTCCGTATAGCAAGAGACTCCGTTTATACAATAACAGAGACCAGTGATCAGACTTGTCAATTATTTTACAGTTGTCGAAAACGAATTGAGTAATATTAGTGTTTATAGGGTTAGATGCGTCAGGTGAGAGTTCCATAAGAGTTTTAATGTATTGAAAATATTCACAGGAGTTGATGTGGACGTTGATCTCTGAGTTTTCGCGCGTAGTATGTTCATTTAAACGCGTGTAGAGACAGCGGTCCGTTTTGCCAATATAAGCGCTTCGGCAGCCCGGGCATGAAAATTCATAAACCAGGGAGCTTTTATATTCGTCTGGCGTCTTGTCTGTGCATGACAGGAAACAATTCGAGTTCGTGGTTCGCCAGTTCAAAATAAACTTAACTATATAGTCGAAACGTAGATTCAATAAATCAAAACAAAATTTATTCGGAGTTACTGATCTTTTATGTTTTAACGAATATAACTTATCAGTTTAGATTAGTATGAGGGAAATGTTTCTGCAAATGAATCAGTTAATGAAATTGTTACGGAAATTATTTGTAAAGAATTTTAATTGGAACACTATATATATATACTAAGTCTCATTTCCTACTCAGCTTCTCTCTTGAAATGCATATAATCTAGCCCCATTTGTTCACCAGTGTGAACCAAAGACGTTTCTGCTTTCCTAATGATTTTCTCAATTTCTCCTTGGTTTTTGTCCATTCCTAGTTTTAACGACTCTTTCATTCTTCTAGCGAGTTTTGAGTATGTCTTGGCAGAGTTCAATTGTTTTCTGACTTTGTTCAATTTCCATCTTATTTCACTTTGGCGATCTTTAAATTCAGGTACTTTTTCAATAGAATCGCCAGACCCCATGCCCGATATTTCTGCTTGTTGAAGTTCCATTACTATATCTAAATTAGAGCCTTTACCATCGCTATCGTCCGAGCCTATATTTAAAGATGAAATTTTGTTATTAGGAAATATGATGATATATATGAAGCAATGAAAGATAATGGTATAGGTTCACGTTAGCCAATGCCATGCGAGGAAACGACAATAGGGAATAATTTAAAAATAAGTTTTTTTGGCATCCCTCTTGGCCCTCTGGCATAAGGAATCGAACAGGACCGCAGGTTCGAGGGCCTATATATAGTTTAACAAGCTTTCGTTGGTAGGGATGCAAATATCTGAAAATATACAAGGAGAATTTCGACGTTTCGAGCGAAGGCCCTTCATCTGGAGTTACTATATATAGTGATATATAGTTCGCAGCTGCTCCTGATTTTAGGTATAGAATTGTATGTAATCTTCCGCACTCAAAATTTCCATCTACGAAAATCCTTCAACTGGATTTGAAAATCATAAAAAAGGTCATCAAGTTTAGATTAGTGTCAGATTAAGATTAGACTAGGGTTAGATTAAGATTATATTAGGGTTAGGGGTTAGAGTTGGGGTTAAATTAGGGTTAGGTTCATCTATCCCAATAAGTTATTGCACGAATTTATTGTATTCATAATTTCGGACGTGTTTAACAATTTACTCATATAGGCTAGTAAATTCAAAGGTGGAGCTGATGCTGGACTTTCAATATGGCATAAAATTTTAACAATCTTGACATTTTTAATTAAAGAACTTGCCAAAACAATATTTTCCACAGCCTGAAATGATGAAGCGTTTACAAGCCCGCACGGTGAGCGTTATAGCCACTGGGTTATTAGTACGTCTAACACCGTGTGAAGTCACTGTTATATTATAAACTGATAAAATGACTCTTTTGGAAGTTAACAATTAAATTTCGCCTTTGTATAGGCAATAAACAAATATACCCTACGCTATAGGGGTAATTTAATCGAAAATCTCGCTGAAGTCATGTTGTTAGGTACAGTATGTGTCAACAATGAAAGATCCCGTGCCAAATATTCATGGTCGTTGTTTGTCAAGACACAAAGGTACATGTAGATTTAAGCAAAAGACCATGTGCTGTTGCATTTTGATAAAGGCATTTTCCAATGACCCCTCTCATGCAAGTTGTATATATATATATATATATATATATATATATATATATATATATATATATATATATATATATATATATATATATATATATATATATATATATATATATATATATATATATATATATATATATATATATATATATATTAGGGCACTAGGAAAGTTGTCTGGCCTCTCATGGATTTTGGCAATATAGGTCTTCTAGTTCTTCTGCAATTTATAATCATAGTTCATGCAAGTTTTAGCTTAACTATCGGAAGTCTCGTATTACTGTAATTTTAATAAACTCAACATAAATGAGCTATTAAAAACAAGCTATATAGACGCAAAATGTATGAGGTAATATTTCGCCGGACTCTATTAAAAAAGCACTTTGAAATAGAGTCAGTATAAAGCAGAGTCAAAAGATCACATTAAATTTTGTGTCTTTATTTTATTTTTAATCGCTTATATCTTGAATATACAAGATGTTAATTTTCGGAGTGTGCTTGTTCTCCCTCTTTTATATCTCCCGAAATTGTTTGCTGGGAAAATATAAACTTATATATATATATACGTTTTCCATGTACGTTAGTTTATTAATAAGGAATTAGTTTATTAATAAGGAATCAATTAACACACTGCAAAAACTCCCAGAGTATATTTCGACCAAAACATTTGAGTAACCAGGCCACATGCATGCATGCAGTGACTCAAAATACACAAACTTTTTAGCAATATTACTCGATTTTTTAGTAAAGTTTTAAATTTACTAATTCAAATGAGTAAATTTGCTCATAAATTTGAGTTCTTTTACTTAATTTTTTAAATCACTGCATGTGGGTGCATTTTGAACCAATCTTTTTGCAGTGCATGCATGCAATTTCAGTATCCTATACAATATAAAAACTCCACGATTGTTGTGACCGATTATCAAAACACATGAACCTTCACAGTTCAACGTTTGAAATTAGGCTATCTTACTTGGTATCATGGTAATCATAACAGTTTTGACTAATCACTCGCAGTTCCTTGGAGCTTTTTTGGATAGATTTGATCAAATAATTCGCAGGCGCATCAGGCAATGAAATAAGAAAAGACAACTTACTTGAGCTTTGAACTAATAATAATAGTCCAAGTAGGAGCTGTGAAACTTCCATTTTCTTTATGCTTTATATTCACAGTGGCGTTCAAGACACCGAACATTATATTCTGCCATAAAAATGTCACATTGCAACATTTCTAAGCGATGAGGTAATGTAAGACAATAGCACTTTTCATTCAAAGGAACCGCCGTGATTCCTTATGTCTTTAACCAGGCTCGGGGAAAATGTAAGATAAATATTGCTGGTTAATAAATAAGTATAAAACCTTGACAAAGCGATAGTAGTTTTAACTTGAGCCATAATAGCAGCATAGAATTGCATATCGTGGCTTTCTTTTGCCAAACGAAAATTACTATTTCAGACAACAGGTTTATTTATTAGTAATTTTCGGTTCAATGGAGCGTTCGCTTGACCACAAAAGAAGAGCGACGAACACGTTTTAAAACTATCATGTCTTTATTTTTAATCATATGTTCCCAAAGATAGCATTATTTCTCAACTTAAATAATTTTTTGTGGAAAAAAAAATTATTTTTGATTTTGCGACAATTATATTTACTTGGTATCATATAGACTGCAGTTTTAAATGCTGCACTGCGGGGTAGTAAGGAGGACTTTAATTTGCTCTAGCTACATATAAATTACAAATAAAAGGATATATTGTTTCAATTCTTAGAGCAAATTAGTTATACGCTATTTTTGAAACAAACGTCTAGTCCAATACATTTCCTACACAAGCAAATTTATTTACATGCATGTATTCGACAATAGCTATTCAATCAAACGCAACTAACCTGCAGGACACGTGCAGTGCATACAAAGGCCGTACTGGGGCGATAACGGAATCGGACGCAGGTCCCCGTAGCCCGCGGAACTTTGGGGGCCTGGAATTACTGGAAGGAGAGCCAGTCAGACTATTTTCTATTGCTAAAAATTATCTAACTTCTATAAAGCTATGATTCCTGAAACACGATCGAGTGCAAGCTATTATTTAATTATATAGTCCAAATGTATGGACCAAATGTATCGACAAATTTTACAGGATAATTCTGATATTCAGGTCTGAGAGAGGTTAATAATGTTAATAACTGGCGACAATTAAAATATATTGGACTTGTCTCTTTTAAGGTGGCTCAATACAGTTTTTAAAAAATGGAAAATTCACGATTTAGATGCGTATTTTTGGACAATTATTATACTTGTTGACAAACAAAAAATACCTTATATACTAGCTACCTCCTCCGCAGGCCTTTCAAAAATATAAAATTGGTGGGAATTGAACGGAAAGCGTTCGTCTCAAATTTCAAATTTCAACCTGCGAACAGGCATACTCATTACGGGCTGTATGGCCTGCAGAGGAGGTAGCCTTTTATACTTATATAAAAACAACATCTATAAAGAGTTTGAATTTTTGCACAAAAATTACGCAACTGCCATTGCTATGGCAACAATGACGTTTTAAGATGGCGGTTATTTTTAAAGTAATATAACTCGTAAACGACATCGGTGACCCCCAAATTTTATTTTTAAAATGATTTCTAGTATATTGAGTTACGTTAACAATTTTAAAAAAAATGGTGTAAAGCCGAATTTTTTTAAATTACGTAAAGCCAAAGGTGATTATTCATAATAATTTTTTTTGGCTCCACAGAATTTTAGTTTTTAATTGTCAAAATAATTCATTATACTACTGAGAAATCATTTTTTTAAATAAAATTTGGGGGTCACCGATGTCGTTTGCGAGTTAAATTACTTTAAAGCCAAAATATCCGCCATCTTGAACGTCATTGTTGGCATAGCAACGGCAGTTGCGCAACTTTTGTGCAAAAATTCAAACTCTTTAGATGTTGTTTTCATATATAAGTAAGGTACTTTTTGTACGAACACCCTTTCACTAAGGATACTGTTTCCGAACAAGGCAATGAGTTCAAAAGCATGCTCGCAAGATCCGTGTGGCAATTTAAAGATCTCACAAGGCTTGTGCCTTTCGCAAAGACGCGGGAGGGCAAGAATATAAAAGACAAAAACACAATTGAAGCTCAAATCCGCATTGATTGAAATAGTACTTCAGCATATATATTTATGCTTTATTTGGCAATAGCAGAAATTTACTGTAGCGTTTAAAGTTAGGAGGTTATGTGCCAACCAGGCAAAGATAAATGTAGTAATATTATATTAATGTCTAAATAGTTGAGGATCGGATAGCACGGGAATCTACCCTGTTTTTAACGGAATCTCGCTGGTACTGTAGCTCAGGTATTTTTTTATCCACGGAAAAAGTGGAGGAGTGATCATGCCCCCCCTGCTCCGCGTTCCTTGTTATTGTACTATTATTCTATCAAGCTACTGTAGTATTGATTTAAAGCGAAATTTATAAACACTTTTACTGATAGACTCTGTATTCTGCACGTCTTTTTCACCATGCCCTAAAACAAGGCAATTATATAAATTATATTCCCTTGAGCATTTCAATACGCCTTTCAACCACAGGGTGTACCAATTTTAACAATTATAGAACCTTCTCATACGTTAGTTATAAAACTGTTGCAAATTGGTGCAATTACCAGAATAGTCGGTCTGGAATTTGACATATCATTTATGCAAATACACAAGATATATGTCTCAACTTTAATTTCTTACCTTCATTAACCGCCAATAAGAACTCAATTTTTCACGGTTACCGAAACGAATTGAGTGGCGGAACTCGACAGGATCAGTGGTTTTACGTCTATATTCGTCTCGTTAAGGTCTGATTCCACGACGGCGAAATTCTTCGTGAGGAATTGTGTCTGCGAAATACGGATGGTTGCACATGAGCGATTCTACTGAATTTCCCCATTTTTCTACTTTCGAAGTGAGTATAGAACTGACTTCTACTCACGGCATGGTGAAGCGATTTTTTTCTTGCGAAGCCTAATTTATCTTTACTTCGCACGCACCTAATTCATTTCGCCGAAGAGAGCGCCTGTGGTCAGTGGAATCAGTGAAATTCATCGCGAAAAAATGCGTCTGCATGCGAATATGGATGATCGCACATGAGTGACTTTAGTGAATTTTCCCTCTTCATTCGCTTTCGCAGTACAAAACTAAAGTTTTCCCGCTTACCCTATATATCCCTTATTCGGCTGTATTCACTGTTATTGATCTTTAGGTAAACGGTCAATTACTATATTTTACTTGCAAGCTCGAACCCGTGCAAGCTCGAACCGACATGCAGTCATTCGTTTGAAACAACATTTCTGCCATCTTAACTTGTCCATTCCTATACTGTTTTTTAATTCAATTACCTCTATACAACAATATATTCTGGGTTGTGCTATTTAGCCAGATTTTATGATCAGACACATACAATGGAATGTTGTTGATATATAGCCAAGACCTGCATGGTCATAAAGATTTAACCGAATTAACGCGAGGTGGCCGTTAGGCGGTACTAAACGCTTGAGCAAGAATAGTTTAAAGTTCCATGAAGAAAAAGCTTGAAGATGCTAGCAAAGCAAATTCATACCCGAATATTTCGCAAAGTGTCCGCCATTTTGTGTGAAACACTAATTATATTTTCGGACAGTAATGCAATTTTAATTAAAGATCTGGAGGCAAGTATTAATATGCATTGTCTATATTTCAGCGTCAAACCCTATAGCCTAGTGCATCATGGTAAAACAACCGAACAGGCAATCGGGAAACACGAGTTCGAATCCCATTGTGGAGTTCATATATTTTCTGGATAATTACAATCTATTCTTTACCTACTATATATCCAAACCGTAACTGTCGTTACTTGTAGTTAAGCGCAATCTTTGTCAAATAATTATTTGTTGATACAAGCAACCCGACGACTGTAAATGTAGCACCAGCTTGTTGAATGTTCCACTTGAATAAGCGATTAAATCCCCATGCTGTTTATTTACCAAGCTTATGCACGTGCGATTATTTTACAAATACAAAGTGTATAATGTACTAAGTGTAGATTTAGAGTGGAAAAGCAGTCGAATTAATTATCGATATATGTTGCGATGATGCCGCACAATGTGGAGACTTTTTAATCGAGGTATGAAAGAATTGTTGAAATTATTTTTGAACACTTAATCTCGTAAACATGCATTATTCTAAACTTGTATATATGTTGACGAAAAAATGTTGAATAGGTTGACGCGCACGTACATGTATGTCAAAGCTCCATAGTCAAAAATTAATGGCTATTTTGACAGTGATAGTTGATCCTCTCAACTTGATCCTTTTATCCTTTGTAAAGACAACTATGACTTCAAATTTTGCCGATATTTTTTGAGTTCTGTTAGATCTTTTCGTTTTTGTACAACATTTATGTTTTGAAATTGTTTGATGCTCTCCAGGCTCTCGCGACTTCGAGTATTCATCAGAAATCTTAATTTGACGGACGTTCGCGCATTTCCTTACTGACCTCAAACTAGCACTGGATGGTGCATCTGATGATGATTAAATGATAAATAATTAATTTACAATGAGAAAGGGATACTGACAACTGTAGCTAGAAATAACTTTGAAATAACCCTTGAGCCTGTTTATATTCATGGGAGTGGGATGACCCTATATATAGCAGAAGGATTACCCTAGTAAACGCGTTACCCAGGTCTATTAGGGTTACGGTGATTGCTAGATAGTATACTTCAAAATAAGGTTTCCGTTTTTATAACGTACAAAAAAACTATCCTAACGCAAAACTAAACATTAACCCTAATACTAAACCTAACCCTAACCCCCAACCTAACTCTAACCTAAACCCTAACCTGACCCTAACGTATTTTAAAAATAGAATAAAAACGGAAATCTTATTTTGAGGTATACTATCTAGCAATTGCCTTAGGGTTACCTGTCACACAAGCAGGGTAACTCTGAGGAAAGGCCATGTTTTTGTTTACATAAGCCATGCAAGCGCCTCAGATAGGGGCAGGACCGTAGCGACCGGGGGGTGTGGGGGGTACAACACCCCCCTAATAATTACTCATTACTAGCAATTTCAGGTAGATTTCCAGTAGATTTTCAGGTAAATTCAGGTAGATTTCCAGTAGATTTTTAGGACTTCATAAAGTTCATAAAGTAAATTCCGGTAATTCTCGGGGCATAAGAAAGTGAATTGGGAAAAATAACTATATCTGTGGAAAACTTTTTTTGTATTTTTGTAAAAATTAAGATATGTCCGGAAAAAATTTTGTATTTTCGGAAAAATTATGATATATCCGGAAAAATTGTTGTATGTTTTATTGAATTGTTGTAAAATTTCAGTTGCGACGTCCTCCCTCCCCCTTCCCCCAACTCGCCAACCAGCTTTGGGAAAAAATTTTAATTAGTGATTGAAATATTCTCGACATGCATGCGTCGCAAAATCAGGTAAAAACGTGAAGTTGGATAAATTCAGGTAAATCAAACCTCACACCAAGATTCTATGTAGTGATTTAGGAGCCAAAGAGTCACAAATATACTGATCCAAAGAACAGCAAGCAATTTATAATCATAGCAATATAGTCATCCACCATATATGAGCTATCGCAATCTCAAATCAAACAGTTATACAGTTGTATATGACCTGATAACCGATTCGATGCTACTGACTCACCTCGTCGACAATCAGTTCATAAACAAATCGAGCTCATAGTTAAGTATAATTGTTAAATATATAACTGACTACATATTGTTATTTCAACCACTAATTTATAAAGGAAATCATGGCCTTCACGTCGTTGTTGTGACATACTCAATTTTACTGGGCAGTGATAACTAATTTGCGAAGTGATAATAATACTGAAAATGTGCAGTGATAAAATTTGCTTTGATAAGTTTTAAATTAACAAAATATGAGCCAACGAGCCGGAAAACTGAACCAAAAATTCGTCTTGACATTATTAATCAAAATATTTTGAATGAGAATAATTTGAATGCAATTGAAATCATAATTGCCAAATTATCGAATGTCTGCACTAATATTTATATACTTATAAGGTACATCAGATGAACAATGTCTCTCACGATGAATACATATAGGTCAGGAATAAATTAAGCTATTAATCGCCAAAATATGAGGCACAAACTTTAATTAATAAAGAACTGAGATTTACAGCAGCAAAAGGTGGTCGTTTCCTGAAAACATGTGATCATGAAACTATTCTGTAATAGATATAGGTGTATAACTGCAGGTGCAAGGCCACCGAGAGAGGTGAAGGGTGCAATTAATTTACGCTTTCCCAGTTAAAGGGGGAGGGGGGCAAATAAAAAAAAATACAGTGAAATATACATAGATAGAACTGTCAACAGACTTCCAGAATTTGGCCATTTCTGAGACCTTTTTATTTTCCCGGGGAGAATACTCCCTAATCATAGAAATTTCCCATTTACGTTTCTAAGTAAGTCGGCGGATCGAACGTATATGCATGTATGGTGTCCCAGTAATTACTCTACGATTTTGATATTTTTGGAGCCCGTCTTTGAGGCCAATTCCGCAATTATCACACATATATATATATATAGCGGGCTACATTAATCAAAATAGGGCTGCACAATAGCGTTGTATATACTTATCATTTATAGACCCAGACCGAGGGGGATTCGGCGAAATATTAGCCGAATACTACGCGGCAGATCTACCGTCAAATATTGTAATATCTCATGCTGCATTGCGAAATCATGCATTTGGGTGAAATACCGTAAAAAATCACATTGTCACGTAGTAAAATGTTGTTTTTTTATAGGACTATTTGAATATGAGGTATAATATTGTCAACGATCTCACTGATGAAGGAAACACTAAATCTGGAACAATTGTTTTTTACTCAAACGAGGATGAAAGTTGATGAGAGTTGCACCTCTCGCTCGCGTTCAAGTCGATTCGCTTCAAAGTTTGACGAGAGTTGATGCATGAGAGTTTTGGTTGCGCGCGCGGTAATATCCAGTCAACTCTCATCAACTCTCATGCAACTCTTATTCTCGTTTGACCGGGTCATAAGAATTGAGAAAACTCTCATGCAAATTCTCGCTTCTCCACTCCCATCCTTGTTTAACCAGAGCTTAAGAACCAACTTGTGCCTGATTTCTCACTAAATTGACTCGGGATATAAAAAGCAGTTCAGCTTGATATAGAAATAGCAGTTCTGTTACTGTACACATGCACTTCATCAAAGAAAATATTTACCATATAGATAAGATTTTGCTGTTGTCTTTTCAGTTATAGATACAGTATGACGTCATAATGTGGGGAAAACAAAAAAGTGACTCCGCCGAGGCGAGTGTCTGTTCTGCAACTGAACAGACAACTGCAAAATCTATTTGTTTTATATAATAAAAAGAAAAACCGCTAATTAAACAGGTAAATAACTTACTTATTATCCACCCAAACATTTTAAAATTTGAGAAAGTCAAAATTTTACAAATACGACGGCGTACGTGATCTATATAAATAAGGGATTGCTATTGGATAAGGTTTTGTGTGACGAAATTCCGTACGTCTGTCCTCCAATAGAACATGGCTCTCAACCAATGAAAGCACTCGAATTCTTAACGTTATTATATAAAAACATACATAACATGCATATTACGCGATTTCGTATAATGCCAATCACGTATTTCGTTTTTCTTTATTTTACAAGGTAAAAACAATGGTTTCCATTGAAATTAAATGAATACTCATCACACGTTTATGAAGCATGTTCCAGTTTTATGCAATGTCATCGGATGGGTCTTCATCTATTTAGCCTTATTAGCAGAAGCCGAATTCCAAGACGGTAAGTGCCTCAATTTTTTGTACTTTATATGTACAAGTACGTTTTATTTCACTAAATGTCATAGTGCACGTGATGTCAAACAGCGAAAATTACATGAAAATCTTTAGTTTGCTAAGTCAACTAAAGTTCTTCAAATAAAAATCATTTTCAAAATAATCAGACAGCGCGCAAGCGGAGAACTTAACCCGCGTGCAGGCCCACCAAGAGAAGAATAGTGGGCCTGCAAAGAAGACCAGGTATTTTGTATTTGTTGCGTTCGCACAAGAACGCAGAATTCTGATTGGCTGCTTGATTTAATAATATTACGTAAGCTCTTGATAAGTTTCGTAGGACTATATTTTCCGCATTGTACAACATTTCGCAACCAAACTTTGCAATTCTACTAATTTTAACATGCTCTTTCTAGCTGTGGAGATGGATTTTGTTCTTCTTGCTGAGATCAAAATTTAGTCTACAGCTGGGATCATCTATATTGTTTTATATCAATCACAATGTTTTTTTATCACTTATTAGAAAGTGGATCGATAATCAAAATTCCAGGAGAGTATAGAATTCATTCCAATCCTATAAAGAAGACGAAAACGTCCTCCGAAAAGTACAAGAACTCCCATAACAAAAGAGAACGGCAGACACTCCTACGTGAGTTTGTACTTGGTGATTTTACTCCCTATGTTCAAGACACGTCTGATGATGAGAAAAATAGTTATGCTGAAATCCATTATGGCGATAAAACGTTTGTTGGAAATAACAAGAAAGTCAAAGATTATTCAGGAGAAACTTTCGGGATTTTCACTAATGATGAAATAAATACACGAAAAACGAACAACAAGATCCATAAGCTATTAAAAGGCATAACCGCAAGATTAAAAAGTAACCAAGTGGACTTACATAAGACGAACGAAAAAGACAAAGTCCATAATAAAAAATCTAAATACAGTCATAGAAGAAAATGGAAGGAAAGAAGATTTGAACACAATATCAAGCACCATTTGAAAGGAAATTTATTCGATATTAACCTTAAAAAAAACAAAAATAGTAACAACCATCGCGCAGAAGACGACAAGACCTTTCCATTGAAATTTAAAAAGACAAGCGTATCAAAGTCAGGATTCCCTTATGGGTACTATGATAATTTTGCTTCTGAATATAACAACCTTCCGGACAATTTTGACATTTATGATAAAACGTACAACTATTTTTTACCGGATGAAAATAGTTATGACAGAAATTTAAAGTACAGAGTAGATGATAGAACGTGGCATAAAAATAAAAATGGAGGAGCCAGTCAAAATAAATTGCAAGAACCCCCCAAAAAATTGCCAAGGAATCTGAATGGAAAATTATACGAATCTTTGGAGACAAGTGCATACAATCCTTTAAAACAAATAAGAATAGGGAACGCTATCATTAGCGACCAATATAAAAATAAAGCAAATAGATATGTAGAAGCTAAAATTCATACGAACAAACTGGAAAGTAAATTTCGAAATGAAGATGGCATACTGAAAAAATCATACCGGGAAAATAGTATCAAAGTACAAAACAATTATGATATTGACGGGAGAAAACGCGACAAAACCGAACGTCTTGCCACCAAAGATTATCATCGAGGTAACGAGGTTATTAATTACAAAAATGTATCAGCCATAAAATGTAACGGCGATTGTAGTACTGCTAAAGTTTTTGGAGGTTCAGAAAATAATGGATCTCAGATAGAGGTACCATGTAACGAACACGAAAGGTGTAAATATGGAAATAATGGTAGCCTGATCAACTCTGAAACGAATGAAAATGTCCTCAATGAAAGTAGAAAACATCAACGGAAATTTTATACCTTATTGAAAAATGCCATGGAAGGTCGTCATAAGGTGAAAAGAACAGAAACAACAACTAAAAAGACAGTCAAAAAAGGTGATGTTAGCCTGCACAACACGATTTCGCATTCACATAATAGAAATGGAAAACTTGCTTTAAAGCCTACAAGTTTTGCTAAAAAGTTGAAAGCTCAGAAGAAGAAAAAAAACAACAAAAAAGAGGATAATTCATTATTACAACAAATGCTTAACATCCCCGTGAAGTTAATTGTCAGTTTTGTTCGAAACTATATTCTTGGAAATAAGGATCCCGGAGACATGGTACTAAAAGATGTCTGGCAATTGCCAAAATCCAGGTTAAATAAACATTCTAACAAACGTAGCAAAACTGATTTGAAAATTAGCAATATCAAACAAAAGAAAACTAAAAACAATTACAAAATTTCTTTTAAAAAAGGTAACTTAAAAACGATATTAAGAAACAGGCACAAATCAAAGACATCTACAAGAACGTTCAAAAGAAAAGCGACAAAAGAGGCCAACGCAGTTACGCGCACCCTTTTATCAAATGAACACAAAAGTGCTTTAAAAGGAAGTAAATCATTTATAGAACTTATCAATGTCCTCATTGACGGACGACTGTTGCATAAAGATAAATATTTGAATGATGTATACAAGAAGAGTTTTTTGCCTAAAACGGAAGAGAGTGGTTATTCTTCTGAAAAGAATCTTTTTCAAAATTCTGAATTGATAAACAAAAAACAAGTCTTGCCAAAGAAAAGAAAACTTATCCATGACCCATACTTCATCCCGATAACACGAAACGCAGGAAATCGTCCTGACTGGAAAAATAAAAACAACATTTTACCAAAGAAAGCCCCTTCTGACTTTAACGTGAAACGTAGTGATATTTACTTCCCAGATGGATTATCAGCGTACAACAACGACGTTGAAAGTTTGCCTCGTTTACCAGAAACACTGAGTGCTAGACAATCAATTCAACCTTTCGACGTGCATTCTTTGGATAACAACATGTTTCAAGACAATCAATATGAAACTAAATATCAGCATTTTTACGACACCAGAGATATGTTATCTTTTCAATATCCATGGAACAATGTTGGCAACAATATATCGTCACAATATACCATTCCAAAGAGCAATGAAAAAAAAAGTTATAGTGACTTGAACACCAGAAGGAAGACACAAAAACAATATTATAAGCCAATTCTAACCTTGCAAGAGACCACACACAAGCCTCCGCCATATACATTTCAAATCTATGATGGTATTCAAGCGCCAAAAAAAACGTCTTGGAATCAGATCAAATCTATTAAAGATGAAAGTAAACATGGCTTGAAATACAAAGGTTAGTGATGTATGCAGTAATGCACATGACACAAATTTTTTTGCCCATCACTTGAAAGTGATGAAGAATGGCCCATAACAATGTATTTATAATACGTTCTTTGTAGGATTGCATGACGATAAAAGGCATATAATACTTTGGAAACACCACGTAAATTTATTACTGCAATATTCATGAAATATAATAATTATTAACAATAATTATAATATAATAATTATCACAATACAATAATTATTATTGTAATGGGACCGAGGGAAACAGTGTGTTTTGTGGACCCGAGATCGTCGATGTTTCCCGAGGCGAAGCCGAGGGAAACATCGACGGTCGAGGGACCACAAAACACACTGCTTTCCCGAGGTTTCAGTAAATAAGTGTTTTATTATATATCAATAGTCAAAGAAACAACAAATTAAAGAACAAATGAACGTAAATACATGAAACCAAAACTAGATAAATGGAACGCGGTAAATGTTTAATGAACTTTGGAACTTCACGGTTGACGTACACGCGCACTGCATCCATTCTATTGTTGACCGGTCAATAATTGTTTCATTGTTGACCGGTTGCCCCCTCGCCAAAGCATGCAGGGAACATGACGTTTTGTGGACCGGCACGTGATACGATTTTGACCAATCGGCAAACAGAAAAATTGAACTTTGACACTAACTATATAACAATATTATTTATTTATTTCGTTGCAGTAATAAATTTAGTATGTGGTTTTTCCACAAACAAAAAGTATTATATAATGTTTATAGCTCATCTCGTTCCCAAATTATCGGGCATTCTGTATTCTTGTGTTATGATGTCACTTGTTGTCCTTGAAGAAAATCTAATATCTCAGAAGTAATTCAACGAAATTAAATGAAACTAGATAGTAAATGCACCTAAGCAAACATTTTGGAACGTTTATATGGTTCTCCTACCAACACACTAGTTATCAGGTCCCTCTGTCCTCTTTGTCCAAATCGTCCAACAAAACAGAAAGAAATTTTTGTGGTTTTCACTTACTATTATCGTTTTTATAAGCGCTGCGTGTGGTGAATATAAACTATTGAATTAAATACATTTTCTTCCAAAGTGTCCATGGCAGCCATTACTAAAATAAGAAGAGCTCAAGACCTGATAGTGTATTGCTATGATAACTACATAAACGTTCCAAAATGTTCGCTCAGGTGCACGTACCAAGTGTACTTTTCATTTAATTTCGTTCTTCTTTTTGCAGCCGTCACAACTAGTGACGTCACAACGTCAACTAGTGACGTCATAGGATACAAAATATCCGAAAACTTGGGAACAAGATGCGCTGTAATTGCGTTATGTTCACTTTAATTAATGTGCACATGACACAAAATTTTCTCTATCTTCTTGCTCCGTAATACTATGCCCAAACAATGACATAACCATTGCATTTGTGATTCTGCTGGAAGCAGGGATGCCGGAAGATCGATAATAGCGGGTGCAGATATTCATATATTCGCGTTCTGCCCAATTAATTTCTTTTGAAATCGATTGTTTTTACAGTCTGTGAACACGAATATATGAATATCTGCACCCGCTATTATCAATCTTCCGGCATCCCTGGCTGGAAGTGCGAGTCTCTGTGTAAAGTAGACAACATGTCGAGCATACAATTAAAGAAATATAAATTACTGACAACAGAAAGGTTCAGATATGACTTCCCGTACAGCCACCATTAACATCCAATCAAATGCGTATACTGGACATGTAGGAGATAGCGGTAGTGGAAGTCAAATCCGAACACCTCTAATGGTAATGCAACAGCCGTAATCTCTTTGTATGTACATGTCCAAATCTATAGGGCGTTTTAATACAAAAACTGGCCGATATATTTATGCTAACGCAATTAATGGACCTATTAGTATTACCTATAATAAACAAAACTTTGAACAAGTCTAAACAAAAATTTCATCACAGCTTGAAAGATTGAAAGAGTATCAAAAAATTGGTATACCGTACGGCGCTTTGAAAATCAGACAACTGAAAGGCTACCGTGTACCTAAATAAGTTTAAATAATAATAATTAGAAACAGATCCGTTAAACAAAACAATCTAACCAACACTCGCAAGCTATCATTCAGGCACAATTGCACAGCCTACCAACTTGCAATATCCTAAACAAAATCAAAACCTAGCCAACCAACATCCCCAAGCAGTTAAGTCAAAACCATGAAGTCAACAGAATCTACAATATAATTCAAACCTGAATCGCCAACACTGGTGGAATCATTGAAATATATATAACTGGAACGCTACCTTCTGATAAACTGCCTATCGTTTTCTTGAAGCCAAGTTTGACTTCTAGACATGCGTGTTCAGATCACGCGTGTTTACGTCGCTCGACTTTCCCGCGGACTATATTTCAGGGAGTGAGCATGCCGTGAAAAAGCAGGCAAAAGAACAAAAGAAGAAAAGCTTCTTTTGTAAACAAGGTTCCATTGTTAATATTTTTGGTAGCGGTATAACTATTAAAATATCAACAAAAACGGTCCTCGGGACCTATCAAAATATTGTATAGATTATATAAGTATAAATTAAGTTTCATATATTTTTATAATATAGCATTTGTAAATTCTGAACGCTGATTGGCTAAGAGCCGTGTTGATATAACTCAATGTCAACACGGGAAAATTTCCGCCGCTTCTAAACACGGAAATTTTTCTTATCCTTCGGGCTTTTGACATCGCTATATTATAAAAAAAATATAAACTTTTTTCCGTATTGATATATAGTAATATCAACACTCGTGGAAGTTGGAAAAACTCGAAATTGTATGAAAACACTCCGCCCTTCGGGCGTCGTGTTTCCATACAATTTCTCGTTTTCCCAATTCCACTCGTGTTGATATAACTGTATATCAACACGGAAAATGTTTTATATTTGTTAAATATTACCTAAACTTTCGAAAAAGTAAGTTTTAGTACAGGAATACATGTTTTAGTACAGGTATACATCTGTTTATTTCCTTGAAATTAACTTGAGTAAATCAGTGTATAAAAAGAAAAAAATAATCCCCAAAACATCCAAGCCGAAAGTGACAAAGGAAACGCTCACTCCTCGGCACACTTTTATCGCAAAAAATGCTCGTCCAATAAATAACTTTTAAATAAATTAGAAAGTTAAGTCTGCTAAGAAATTTTACTTGAATATAGGCGCTAATAATAAAGCTTTAAGCCCACTTAAAAGGCTTCTTCTTTGGATATTTTAAGCCAGTATTTATCTATGAATGATTAGCCGCGCTCTTCGCTTGCATGAGCAGACTGGGACTGACTCTCAAATTTGGCTTCAAATTTCCGTTTGGATGTAGCGTTCCAGTTCTATTCTGTTCAGTGGAATTCAGTTGGCATTACATTAAAAGGGGCCGGGCCCTGGAGTTGGTTAGGCTGGCTACCACTGCTTGAAACACCTAAGGCAATAGATAATAACTCTACAAACGTTTCGAAGTGGGGTCGAACCCCTTGACGTTAAGTCACTAGACGCAATTGCACTGTTTAAGGATCTGTTTCCTCGATTTCTGTAAAGCTTTTATTGATCACAATATCCTGGTTTTAAAACTGTTCTCACTTGGTGCTTTCGATTATCCCGTGGATTTGCAACTTTCTACTGAAACCGCTGACAATCGGTAAAGATTGACCATTTCCAATCCGGGAGTTCTATTTATTGTCATGATTAATGATCTTGAACTGACTTCTCCTAATACAACCCCATGGAAATATGTATACGATGTCACAATGTCAGAAAACGTCAATAGAAATGAAATTTCAATCTTGCAACCGGACGTTAATGCAATTGAAAGCTGGACAAAGAGTAGCAATATGAAATTAAACGGTAAAACGTGTAAAGAGAAGATAATAACTTTCTCACCTTGGCTCACCATGCATCTGCAGAGGTAGCCTGCGAACAGGCTCTCAAGCTGAATTGAGAGCCTGCGTCGATCACTAATGAATTTGAATATCTGCCCCGTAACGTTCGTTTTTCCAAATATGGAATGTCCATACTTATATGGTGTTGTTTACAACTTTCGTGCAAACTAAATTTAGACCGTGCAAACTAAATTTAGACCGTATAGTTTATACTGTTTTTCGAAATATAAGATATTCAAGCAAAAGTTCAAATGTTTTAAGTACTGTTTTCTCAAAACAGAACATTTCGTGCTTTGAGATAAGATGGTCAAGACCAATTGGATCAGTTATTAATAGCGTAGTGCTTCAGCTGTTGACATATATAGAGCTCAGCGGAAACAAATAAATTATAGCATCTGACCAATGAGAATTTCGCGTCACGATTTGAGATGCAGATATTCAAATTCATTAGTCATCGATGCAGGCTCTCAATTCAGCTTGAGAGCCTGTTCGCAGGCTACTGCAGAGGCCTTATAGCTCAATGGTTAGAGCGTCTGTCAGGTTATCAGAGGGTATATATATGTGGTTCGATTCCCGTTAGGGCTCAGAACTTTTGTGAAGCCCTGTTTACATGAGACTCCGGGACAGGAACCACATCAAACCGGGACCATATTTCGTTTCGGTCATTATTTATAATAGATGTTTACATGCATGAGACCGGGACGAAATTAACTCAAACCGGTCTCAATTTGCAACTCATTCCGCCTGCTGGACCGAGAAGACTGACTTCAGACCGGCATGAATTCAGACCAGGATGAATTAATGTAAACACAATTGCAAGTACATTTCAGACCGGTCTCGGCTGTAACCTTGACATTGGAACAGCACATGGTAGCAAAAGCCATCGAAAACAAAATTGCCTGGCAAGGGAAATACATTGAAAATTTTGTGATTTTCGTACCGGTCTCATGTAAACATGTAGGTTTCCATACCGGTTTGATTTCACCCGGGTCTCATGTAAACGGGAACTGAGCAACGTTATCCACTGATAACTATATTATATCAAACATGCTTTTTCAACGTTAGTGGTATTCTAAATTCTGTACTCTGGGAATTTAGTTTTCCAGAGAATTTTTAAACAGTATTGTTCTACAGTAGACATCATTTAGTATTTCAGACTAATGAACTGATTTTGAATCGCAGAGAATTCATAATGGTGTGGCTTTTAAAATTTAGAAATTAAATTTTCTATACAGTGCACGGAAATGTTGATTTCCAGCGGATTTTTGGGTACTTGATTTTGCACTTCACGCATGAAAAACTAAATTTTCTTTTCTATACACTCTCAGTTTTCCATATAAATACTTACCAGCTGTAACTTCCAAAGTTTCAGTGCAAGATTTAATGGAGGCCACGTTTACTGTTTGCGTCAAATTATTTTAGGAAAAAATCTAACACCTTGCTAACTCAAAGTTTTTGTTGCCCTTGAAACCCTTCTATAGTTGCCTAGAACTATGCTTCAACAACAGTGAAAAAATAGAAATCATCCTTGCAGTTGCATGGTTTTTAAGCGTTTCAAACCCTGGTTTATACATTTCGTATTATACCTAACGATTGTCATAATATTGAATCTAGTTGCCACATTTTGAATTGTTTAAAAGATAATCTACTAAATATAATACACTGCTGAATCGCCATTTCAAATGTAAAAACCACTAACAATGTTTACATGATTCTTAAACATAGATATCTTATATACACTAGATAGTGCATCTAATTATTCTGCAATTCAAAAATTGAAGCCGTGATTGCAGTCTCAAGTCGTTCCCATGAAATGAGAAGATTAATTCGTATGTTTTCTATTTCTTAAACAGGGAACTTAAACATTAAGTTAATCCTATTGCAAATACGTTTTTAAACTATTCAAATGATGAAAGTTATTGTTGTTTTTAAGCGTTTATTAGCAAGTGGGAACGACCAACATGGAATATTTTTAGCTTCAATTTTACTAAAAGAGATGCGCTATCTAGTGTATATAAGATATCTATGTTCTTAACCCGTCTTCACTTCAATTACTAAAAGGATCGACTTGTTCGCTGGTAAACTAATACACATTTAATGGCATACATGGGGCTTCGGTGGCGCACTCGTCATAGCAGGTGCCTTTCACCTCTGAAAATGTAGGTTCGATTCTCGCTACGGGCCCATGTCAACGCTCTGCCGAAAGTCGTGGGTTTTCTCCGGGCGCTCCGGTTTCCTCCCACGGGGAAAGTTGACAGGGTGGGTTAGAATAAACATAGTTAGGAATGTAATATCACAATTGTTGTGAAGATAATTAGTCTAAAGAGTAATACTTGATGTCATCGGTCACTGAAAAATCCCGTTGGGGAAGTGAACTGAATCAATAGAGTGTTATTACGTCACAGCCGCCATGTTGGTGCTCCAATTCAAAAATATTTAATTAGACTCTTTTATCTAGAACACCAACATGGCCGCCATGACTTTTGTTGAGTTGGTCCTTAGGGAATGAGTACAAACGCTCTATATGCATGTATGTATATGCATCATACACAGATAAATTTCCTCTATTTTGAATTTTAAGGTATTTTTGGTAACAATGACGAGGATTTACAAAGATCGTGTATAGACGTTGGTAAACAAGGTTAGTAAGACGATGTTAATTATTATATAATAACTACAGTCAAATACACAACTTGATTGGTCAATATACCCGTGCATGCAGGATCAGACAATCCTGCACGGAAAATTTTTGAAGTGCTGTCGCGCGGGCTTTTCAAAATGTCGGACAATGAAAACATTTTGATGTGTGAAATTAACGCTGCACTAAATTAAAGTGTATGGACCGAGCGACGAAGGAGCGAGGTCCATGCAAAAAACAGAGGTCTGATATTTCACAGTACAGACCGAACAAGCGAGATCAATAATCGGTTTATTATATGGCTGAACTGAGTCTGTGAGCATATGCTTTTAATTTCGCGCGAATTAAATCGGCTATCGTCAGTAGCATTGGGTAACAATATACGGTGGGCATGAATGCTCAATCAAAAACAATTTGGTTGTTTGAAATTTTTATCTGTAAAGCACAATTGGAAATTTAAAAAGCAAAATTTTTTTCTGTTTGCAAAGCAAAAATTTCCCGCCAGATAAACCACATCCGGGACACTGGTCCAGATACGGAAAATACGTACCACTGTCCGGATATGGGTTTTTACGGACCGCTTGTCAACCAATCAGAATGGAGAATTTTGAAAAGCCATATAATAAACCGATTATTGACCTCGCTTGTTTCGGTCTGTACTGTGAAATATCAGACCGAGGTATTTTAGTATGGACCGAGCGACGAAGGAGCGAGGTCCATGCAAAAAACAGAGGTCTGATATTTCACAGTACAGACCGAAACAAGCGAGGTCAATAATCGGTTTATTATATGGCTGAACGGAGTATGTGAGCTTTTCGCGTGAATTAAATCGGCTATCGTCAGTTTCACTGGGTAACAATATACGGTAGGCATGCATGCTCAATCAAAAACAGTTTGGTTGTTTGAAATTTTTATCTGTAAATTTTAATGATACACAATTGGAAAATTAAAAATAGGTACGCGACGCGTACATGTATCTGCGAAAAACCTTGATTCACATTTTGTATTTTCTTGAAAGAAACTGAATAATGAAGATGACATGGGACAATTGAAATATTTCATCACTTGTTATAATAGCAGATAAGATTTAAAACAGGGTTGTACACAGCGGGGAGGGCGGCAGGGCAAGTGCTACCCCACCCCCACCCCCACCCCGCACCGAGAAAATTTAACTAACTTTATAATGTGATTATGATTGTAACAAATAATTATGCAGTCAGGAAATAAAAATTTCATGCAAACAATATTCAAAGTGTCTATACAGCCTGCTATTTAGTAAACTGTCACCTATTCAATTCAATCCATACTCATCAAATTTTCAAAACTTTATTGTAATCATATGAAGCAAAAGTTATGTCACTTGTTGTTTACACTTGCCAGTGTTAACTGTTGAGTAACATACACAAAATATTTGGTGAACATGTCGAAGACCACTGAATAATTGAGAATGTTTTGAAGGTCATATGAGTGAAGTATATAATTAAATTCCAGTTCTGTGCATAGTTAATGATGTACCACACTATTCGGTTTAACACGTACAGCACATTCACACAAAAACAATTGTGTTGTGGGAGATTATCGGTTTGAGTAGGAGGTATCACAAGTTTAGTTTTGTACATTGTGTGCCATTGATCAAATCCACCATATAATATATGATTATTCATTGTAGCTGTTAAGTTATTTTCCATACTAATGAATTTAGGTAAGATTGTCTTGCAAGTTGGTTGTTCTGGCAAAATTATCCAGCCAATATCCAGTACATTTATTCTTCATTCTTGTATTAATCTCTAAAGAAAAATATTTATGTTAGAAAGCAAAATGACAATGTAATGAGGCTCGGGAGGGCGAGGATTCTTTCATTTGAAAATGTTTGTAAAAATTTTGTTTAATTAACTCTAATGTGTAAAACCAAAATGTATAAGTATTTTAACTGATAACATCTTCAACCTTTGCTCTAACACTACATTTGATGACAGCTTTATAGTTGGACTGTTGTTTTGAACAGAGTTAAGGAGCCAATATACAGAAATACAGAACCAGGATTTAATTCAATATCTCCTGAGAACTGTCCAATAGGTTCCTTTGATATTGTTAATTGGCAATATTGCCTGCTATGTTTTCACTGTTTAAAATATTACAGAAGTCACAGAAGGATTGTTTTTAAGTACTGTTTAATAAACGAGCAGGAGTGTTTTACTAGGTTTAAAGCCACGAGCGCGCAGCGCGAGTGGCTTTAGACCTAATAAAACACGACCTGCGAGTTTATTAAACGTCTTCAAACACGACCATAAATTCAATCGAAATACTGCTTTATTAGTATTCTTTATATAAAGAATACTAATGAAGACACGACTACAATAGATACTGCCTTATTAGTATTCTTTATATAAAGAATACTATAATTAGGAGTGTTTTATCAGGTTTAAAGCCAATGCACGTGACACATTATGGTTGACATGATTTGCCAATAAGCTTATGAATTATTAATGAGTGTTTGAATACTGTATAAATCTTTTTGTGAACTATGTTGACAAATGGCTTAAAATATCCTTGAAAATATCCAATATTTTATACAGTGTAATATATTAATAAAAAAATTCCAGAGTGCATTCCATGTAAACTCTACGCCGAAGATACGGCAATATTAACTATAGATAGTATAGTAAATATTTGCCGAACTGGCGAACTCATGTATTATAAAATATGTGGGACATATATTTGCACAAATTTGGTATTTAAATATATAATATGTGGTATTTGACTACTTACCAGATGAGGATAAGATTCCATGTTGATAAATAACTTCGCAATAATATCGCAAGTAGAATGGCGAGAAAACAAGACAGCCAATTCAAGATAAATTAATAAAAATATCAAGATATTTTTGAAAGAATAACACGTTTTATACACGAGGCCTGACGATGCTAAAGTATGCCCGTTCGCAGGTTAGATGAGGGCACGATGTAAACAATTGATGTAAACGAATCGTGGCTTAAATTGATGTAAACGAATTGATTGGCTTAAATTGGCTTAAATTATATAAGCTCGTCGCTGAATGGCTATATGTTAACATACGATACGGTACGGTAACATTAACGGCACGTTTGCGATAGCATATATATCTGCTTCGCAGATACAAAAAGCAAAACTTTGTTCTGTTTGCAAATCAAAAATTTCCCGCCAGATAAACGACATTCGGGACACCGGTCCAGATACGGAAAATACGGACCACGGTCCGGATATGGGTTTTTACGGACCGCTTGTCAACCAATCAGAATAGAGAATCTTGAAAAGCCATATAATAAAAGTAAGGTACTTTTTGTTTATTAACAAGTAATAATTGTCCAAAAATACGCATCTAAATCATAAACTTTCCATTTTTTGATAAACTGTATTGAGCCACCTTAATTGTTATGATAGGGCCGCTCCATTTCATTGTTAAGGGCTCGCGCGAGAGAACCGCGTGTAAATGACGCAAATCCCGTACACTCCCCGTTGATCGACCTGTTCGATTAACAGTAACTCAATATTAACATGTATGTATAAGAATGTTCTAATGTTACTCAATAGATCTGTTCTCGATCCACTCTCTCTCTTTCTTCGGTCTTAGCTACTCCTGCTCTCCTTCGTCGTGTTTTCAATATGTTGTCCTTCTCTGTCGTTTGAATCTTCTTCTGCTACCGCTTCTTCACTTTGACAAACACGCAATCCTCGACTGGATATAATTTTTGAACTGAACGTCTTATCGTTAATGGCTTCAATCCACTGCTTGATATTGTGAAATTTGCTTCTCTTATTTCCCCGTCCTTGCCAACTGGTATAAGACTGTCCCATTGAACTATAAATAAACTGGAAGGCTAACTCAGGGGGGGGGGGGTGGAATTGAAGCCAGTGCATTTTAGTTTTTCTGAGTTATGAGCAGAAATACTCAACACTGAACGTTGGGCTATATATCAAATTGAAGCTATTGAAAAACGCTATTTGGTGTAGAAATTTCAAGACTTTAGCTAAAAGGGAAATATTGAAAAACTACAAACATAATTACCGATAATTTGCCGTTTTGCAGTTGTTTTTGTATTTTTTAAATATTTTTCTTTTCGCTGAAGTCTTGAAATTTCCACACCGAATAGCAATTTTCAATAGCTTCAATTTGATATATAGCCCGATGTTTGGGGTCAAGTATTTCTGCTCATAACTCAGAAAAACTATTTTGGCTTCATCAAATCATAGGCCTTCATCATAGCAGTTAGCCTTCCAGTTTATTTATAGTTCAATGGACTGTCCACCTCGCCCAGTTTCCAATTGTTTCCCTGTTTATTATCTTCGTGTACAAGCACAATAGGGCCATTTATACGGAACAAAATAAGACGCGACTTACATAAGACGCGACTTAAGTAAGACGCGAGTTTGTCGTATAAAAGGTACAAAATTCTTATGTAAGACGCGTCTTGGATAAGACGCGTCTTACATAAGAACAGGTCTTTTAGCTGTTGTTATTTAAGTCGCGTCTTAAGGTGGCTCCCTACAGTTATTCTTGTTTACCCAATAATTCCGTAAAACAGGCTTATTTGTGCAGAACGCGAATTGGTTTCGACTTGGTGACAATATTGGTCACCTAAGGGATATTTCTAACTAGATTTCGACAACGTCAGTGTTACCATGGCAACATGACGACAGCACAAAACCTTCCAATTTAACCCATAAATGTGCCGCTATCTCAAAAACGATGTCGGTGACCTATCTTTTTTATTTCATATATCAATAGGGAATGAAGCTCTGCAACTGTGGTGAAAGTTTAAAAAAATTCTGTAGTGTGTGATTTTTTTAAAAGCGAAAATTTTATTGCGAAATTTCCACACTACAGATTTTTTTAAAAATTGAAATTTATATAATTTACCGCAAAATAAATTCGTGGTCAAAATTTGAAGATAGATCACCGATGAAACTAATGAGTAAAATGCGAATAAAGTTAGAAAATAGCCTCGTGTAACTCGAGAAATTCCCCTTATTGAAAAGCGTCGCTGACTAGTAAAAGATTGTACGCGGGCGTAGAACGAGTTTTCATTCAGCAAAATCGAGCGGAAATGTTGTTTTTACTGTTTTGTTTTTGTCAACTTTTCGATTTATTTGAGTGCCATGGACAGCCAAGGATTATTGTGAAGGATCAAATCGATGAAAACAAGGTTGAAGCTAATTAATCCCTGCCGTTTACTCAATCTATGAGCTGTAACAGCCTATTAACAGGTGGACGTGTTTTTTTGTTTCATGTTTGGTTTTGTACTTTTTGCTAAAAATGAACAATTATGCTATGAAACTGAAATATTTTTCTGTTTACATATAATCACTTTAATCTTGTAGAAACACGACTAAAAACGTGAACGTTTTCTTGAGAAGTAAATAACTTTTTAAACGTTTGTATGCAATTTTGCAAATGTTTTACAGTTGACAGTGTATATTTAAAAAAATTTAAAAACATTGTTTCGTAGCTATTTTTGGTCTAGTGATATTCGTATCATATGTAGAATTGCTGTATAGACTCGCAAGTGATTTGGCACTCAAAACGAAGTATTATTCAACGCTTTTTTCCATTAGAAACCTTTCATAAATAGCTTTATTTTTAGAAAAAGCATGGTCAATTTTTGTTTTGTTTTGATCATGCAGTTGCGTGGGATAGTTCACGTACTTGTCCCGCGAATATCCCGCACGCAACTGTAGGGAGCCTCCTTAAGTAGGGGACTCCACGGAGATTCGTTTGGCTGTATCTTACATGCAGTATCCATGAGTATGAGCACTTTTGCACACAGAAAACGCATGCATACTGTGGTGCGCATGTCAAGTAGCGACAATAACAAAAAATGTAAACAATACTTACTTGACTAAAACATTACTGTAGGGCCCCTTTAAAAAAAAAATATTTCCAACCATCAAGTGAGAAAAAAAAATATTTCTTCTATAGGTGTACAAAAAAAAAATATATTGCCTCTTAGAAAATCCCCCCCCCCCCATCACTTTTCTAATGGTCCGTCCCTAAGAACGTATATAAAAATAAAAATATTGAAGCCAGAATATTTTTAATAAGGAGAGATTTTTAAATCTGGGACCCTTTACAAATCGAATCGTTGCGTGTTGAAGTTATGTCTTACTATAAACAAATGTTGTTTCGCATGTGATTTGGAAGACACAGCTTGCGGTAAGCTGCATACCATGCACACTTGTACTGATGAGAACGTTTTACCAGATGAGACTCGTGGTCGCCATCACTTCTGCCCAATTTCTATCCAGGCAACATGTCTCTTTTTACTAACAATGGACCGGTTATTATTTATGGCACCGAAGAGAACTGATGTTCTTGGTGAACATTTTGCTGATCCAACCATTAAAAAGTGACAAAAATATTTTCCCCAGCCTCAAACATCAATTAAAAAATAAAGACCCACTCCTGGCCAGAAACTTTACAAAAGGTTATACCATTTAGTTGCCACACATATCTTTTGTCACTTCTGTGAAATTAGTTTGATAACTGCTCCTGACAAATCGGGAAAGGATCAAGATAGTGACTCTGATTGATTTACATATTGGATTGACATATGATTGTTGACATTGCTTTTTAGTCCTCAATAATTTTTTTATTACGCAACCCTTGAGTTGTTTTGTTTTTCATTTACCCAACCTTTTACTTACTCAAAATGTTAGTTACCCAACCCTTTTCTCTTTCGCAGGGCCGTTCCTATTCATATATTCGTATATTCGTATTAACATACCGTAAAAACAATCGCTTTCAAAAGAAATCCATCTGGCAGAACACGAATATATGAATATACACCCCCAATTATCGCGCTGGGAAGGGCTTTGCTCTTTGGTGCCACCCCCACCCCCTTCACCCATAGTACACCGAAAGAGTTGGGGGTCACTTGGTTAATATGGCGGCCATCGACATACTGTAGCTACAGTATCTAATCCTAGTTTTCAGAAAACCAAATAATACGAATCAAACATTTAGATTTATTTGTAGACCTCTCCGCCATTATTCAAGGTTGGAGTTCTTCTTGAGGAAAATTTACAATCCCAAGAAAAGTAAGTTTTGGGGACCGAGCCCCGTACGTAGAGCGAGGGTGAAAGGCACGTGCAATAACCAACATATATCATCAAACTATAACTGTATTCATTAAACTGGTTATTAAAGGGTTTTTATAGTTTTATATTCAGTTTAAAAAGATGACAACCAAGTTCCAAATTTTTCTTTTTTTGTATAGATTTTAAGTTCTCAACACAAACTCTCTCCGTGGTCATGGTCTGCTCTTTTCTACTTTACGGGGTGAGTCGTACAATGTTTAAATCGATCTTTTTTAAATTTATAGAATAAAAATATATAGACAAACGAACTAGTAAATTCACGAGGAAATCAGCTAAAATTCGAGTGAACTGATTTCAAAAATCCGGACTATAGAAATTCTCCACATAAACCTTTTACTTATAACTGGCTGTGTATATAAGTGTATTTTGTTCATATATAAACATGCCATCCCGCCTATATAGGGCGAGTCTTCCGCCTAGCATGGGATGTTTGTCTAAACGAATGATTCTTCTCTATGTAAATCAAGCTTATTTTTCCTCGTAGATCTCGTTGGTGGACGTGTATCTGGCAAGTCTATTGTTGGACAAACTTAACAACCATTCTTCGGACTTTGCTTTAGTAAAACGTTCAGTCAAAGTGTTACGTGATTTGGTTGGTTAGTTTATACTTCATATTTCATTACATTTTCTTTTAAGAGTAAAGGACATCGGCAGCAAAATTTATGTTTATCTACAATCTTGGCCATAAACCTTAGATTTATTGTACAGACAAAATGTTACGTGTTAGTAAAAATGTGGGAAAGCAACATTGAATTGAGGGGGGGGAGGTACAATATAATTTTAAAAACCCAAGTATATTAAGAAGTTGCGAATTTGTTTAGCCGTTCTATACGTACTTTTGGCCAAGATTGTAGTTGATAATGATATGCAACATTTTTGTTCCTTTATATAGTTGAAAACAACTTTTAAAACTGTTTGCAGTTTATCGATTTTACGGCTTTTTCAACTTTTCGTTTCCGAGGACGATAAGTTAGGAGTTTATATACGGCCTGGAAGATATAACAGCACGAGATTTAATTCTCGTATTTACTTTTAGAAAAGTTTCAATATTAGTAGTTGAATATTGCAGCTATTTGTGAATGAATTGTTCTCGTAATTAAGGAGCTATATTTATCATGTCTCTATATAAGAAATGGGCCTCGTATATATGATTTTCTGAACTGATTAAATGATACTCTCATTAGATGCTTTGCACGTTTAGAGTTCGAAGTGACTATATGACCGGCAGCCGGTCACGGTTTATCAAATACTAAATGGCCGGCAGTCTAGTGACTATTGTTAAAGTTGAATTTTTATAAGATAAACCTATCCCCAACCCCAAACCCTTTTCTAACCCTAACCCCTAACCCCTAACCCTAACCTTTTGAGAGTTAGAAAAGTCGGGAAAAAAAGTTTAAAAAATTTTAAGAAAAAACAATGCTAAGTCAGACAAAACACATCCCGACCCCGACTGCGTTTAACTTTCCGCACGCAGCGCCCTTGCCATACGAGCTAATGGCAAGCTCGGTAAAAGTTAACGCAAACAAAAGTTTTTATATTCAACTATAGTCACTAGACTGCCGGCCATTTAGTATTTGATAAACCGTGACCGGCTGCCGGTCATATAGTCACTTTGTTTAGCGTTTAAGGTTTAGAGTTTAAGGCCAGGGTCAAACGTCGAACTTCTCATGCGCCGAACCTGATGCAAATGAAGTGAAACAAAGAACTTAGCTTAACATTAGGTTCGGAGCATGAAAAGTTCGACGTTTGTCCCTGGCTTAAGGTTTGCAAAGGACAACCTTTTTTGAATTAGCTGTATATATTACATTTAACCATTTACGTTTTTTACACCATGATTTTTCTTTTTTTGTATTATTGCGATCAAAAAGCCAGATACGATGCGATTTAAAAATGCCGCTCGAAATCGCATTTTTCCACCGTTCGGAATTGCATGTAAAGCGATTGTCTGAGTATTGAAATTATTCTCGTTTGGGATTCAAATTTAAGTTGTAAGAATCAAGATGGCGCAACACATGTGCATGTAAGCATCAAGTTTTGGTAAATTTCTTCTCGAAATTTTGCATGGGAGCTTGCAGACTGGACTCCATTCTCGTACCCATAGCCATTTTTACGCGCGTTCGACCGAGCGCGACGAGGGGCTCTGGCTTGCTCTGGCCAAATCCATATCAAACTGGCATCTGATTGGCCATAGTTCTAATACCGGATATTGTTCTCTTACCATGTTTTTATGGTATCCGGTTATGGATTTGGCCAGAGCCCCTCGTCGGGCTCGGTCGAGCGCGCGTAAGAAGGGCTCTGGGTACGAGAATGACTGGACTCCAATTCCAAAAGGGCAACCAACCTCGTACCCAGGCTCTTTTCACTACGCGCCTCGCTAAGGAGGCGCGTAGTGGAAAGAGCCTGGGTACGAGGTTGAAGGGCAACAAGCATGGTCATGTGGGAAGTTATCAGCAGGAGCTATCAATGTAAATATTGAACAGTCGCACATTTGTCAGATCCAAGCAAAATTGTTATAATCCACACTGGACTTTTATATGAACGCCTTCACAAAACGCAACATACATTACTCAATGTTGGCCGGGCTTATAGATTTTATAACGTTTTCTCGTTTAGGTTTGGTGCTCGCTGCTGCTATTTTTGCTGTCATATTGTGTGTTATCTCTCTTATACGTTTCCTGGAAAACCATAAGTATGTTTAAATCCCCGCACAGGCGAACATGTTTTCTTGGACAACTTTTCCCCTACAAGTTTTTTTGTGAAATTTCCTTGACAACTGTTTCTAACCTCATACCCAGGCGCTTTTGGGTTGCCGCCACACTATGACCAGCTTTGGATGATGCAAATCTTATAGTTTCGTTTTAAATTTTTCTGGTTTAAATTTCATGCAATATATAGCTTCATTCATGGTTGAATATGAATATTTCTGTATTATAAACACCTGGGGCCACTTTTAACCTGTGATTCCACACAATTTTAAGCTTTCCTTTTATATTTTATCTATAGGAACAACATGCTAAGGATGTTCAAAGGAGATAAATCTTTTATTCCTCGGACGATTAGTGTGTCACAGTTCATGATTGTAAGTTGAGCGATATACTGATATTTCCCTATTAATATGAACTTTTCAGCGACAACGTTTAAGCCCCCTACACAGGGACGCCGGAAGATCGATAATTGGGGCGGCAGATATTCATATATTCGTGTTCACAGACTGTAAAAACAATCGATTTCAAAAGAAATTAATTGGGTAGAACAGGAATATATGAATATCTGCCTCCCCCCCCAATTATCGATCTTCCGGCGTCCCTGCCCCTACAGACGAGCAATTTTTCCTTGACAAACTTCTCTTGACAATATAAAGTTTGTTCGTTCACTGCAACCAGGTATATCAATCATGTTTCGCTCGCTACTCTGGTTTAAATAAATGATTACAAAGCCCAGTCGAATTGTAATCAAGACCCAACGTTTCGACACTCCAGTCTAGTGTCTTCATCAGGGGTGATCTAAAACTGCGATCGTGGCTTCTTCAAAGAGTATTTGGGTCAGTCTAAACGCCAGTTTGGTACACGGCTAAAAGAACATCAAAAGGCTGTTTCAACTTTAGACAAGGGAAAATCAGCTTTAGCCGAACATGTATGTTACACCAAACACGAGATTGCGTGGGAAAACTCTAAAGTAATTACCACAAACAATCACTATGGTCAAAGACTTTGCCTAGAAGCGTGGCATATAAATATGAGTCATCATGCTTTGAATAGGGATGACGGCGCCTATTTGCCAGAGGAATATATGCATCTTCTTGGCAGGTGACGTCATCCCTTGGATATTTAAGAAGCCACGATCGCAGTTTTAGATCACCCCTGATGAAGACACTAGACTGGAGTGTCGTTGGGTCTTGATTACAATTCGACTGGGCTTTGTAATCATTTATTTAAACCAGAGTAGCGAGCGAAACATGATTCTCTTGACAAGTTTACCTTCTCGTGTGTACATGGTCAACAAATTTTCCTTGACAAATTTTGTTGCGAAATGTCCAGGCTATTTATTGAGCTCTGAATGTTTTTACTGTTTAAAAACAAGCATATTAAGATAGCTATAGCTAGCTTTACACAAAGAGACTTGCTATGGAAAACGTTGCTGTTTTCTGTCCTGTACACAAGTGCATGAATAAGGCGTGGCCGTAACCAGTTCAAAGTATAAATCCACACCTGAATATTTAACAGTTCTACGAACTCAAGTCGGATGAGCTGATAGCCGATGAGGCGCGTATAGCGCCGAATCGGCTATCGATTATAATATTCGACGAGAGTTAGTGGAATAACTGTTTTTTCCATTTAAGGTCTGAATTCACAGATTTTGCTTTTCGAATATTTTGTTTTTTGTTTTTATCTTCGCTCTTTCGGCAGATTATTTTTTCAAAAATATATATATTTAACCATTTTAAATTTTAAAAATTCATTTGCTAACCTGTAAACAATTTGTGGGAGTTTTTCATTGCGTTTTTAATGCTGTAAAGGCTATAAAAAGCGAACAACTTGACGTTTTCTCGTTCGCAAAACGTCGGAAATTCAGTTTGAGCTGCCATTTTGTTTTTTCTACTAGCAGGATATGAGCTAATGTCCTGCTAGTAGAGTACCAATGTTTGTTTTTCCTAGGGGAAAGGATTAAGATACCATAGTTTTCAGATTGGCTACTTTTTGTGGGGTAAGTGTTCCTTGACTATATCCCAAATATGATCCTTGTTTATAGTATGAATAATATTTGGATAATTCTAAGAAGAAATATAATATATCTTTGTAGTAAAAAACCCTGTCAAAATTGCCGGATATGAAGTGAAATGAGTGAATTTCGGGAGGAAAATAAAAAGAAAAATAGTTTACATTTTATAATGACATCATACAGTATCTGGCAAGTTAGACAATGAAAAAGTTTACCAAGATGAGCTTTTTACATATACCAAAAGTCACATTTATGTTAGTGTCAGTTATTTACGTGAGTGAGATCAATGGAAGGTCCACCTATCACCCAAAGTCACGAACTCCTGATCATTGATGGACTTTTCACTCTTCTAGACTTCTTCAGCTCGTTGATCTTCCTTTACCTGGGGCCGAGCGGAATCAGGGATCGATAAAAAATGCATTTATATATTTGACAGTAGTGTTGCAGTTATTTAAGAAAACCCAATTTTGTAGAACAGGGAGGGTAGGGTAGGATTAACATAATATCAACAGAAATTGATGCGTTTGGTGTCCCCCCCCCCCCTCCCCCTCATTTTCGGTTTAGCTAGGTTTTTACACCTTTGTTCTATCTTTTCAGGTTACGTTTTGCTCTCTATCCTGTTTTCGGTCATCTTCATATTTTTTTACAGTTTGTCAATTCGCATCGTACAGAATTTGGTTGTGGGCTGGTTAAAAGGAGGAGGGTGGGTAAAGCCTTGTCTTCGTGTTAGAGACCTTAAGTCTCTTTCTTCGCTGTTTAACCCATTGAGCACCAGAGTTTCTCATTCACAAGTAAAATCTCCAGGCGTTAGACAGAGTAAAGTAACAAAGTAGGGCGGATTAGGGCACAATGAAGCTTAATGGGTTAATATTTTTGCAGGGGTAAGCACAATTGTGGCATAACTTGTTAATAAAATTGTAATTTGCCACTGTGTACGAGTTTTTATTATTAACATGACAAAATTACTGGATGCTGATTGGTTGAGAGGAGTACAATCATTTCATTAATTGTACTGCAGTACAATTAACGATTTTCACAAAACAAACAAAATGGCGGAATTTAATTAAACTATTTGGTATTTAATTAAGCACAAATGAAATTGCCCCAGAGGAACTTAAAGCAAACTAACTAAATAAAAATACGAACAAAAGGTTAGCTGGGCTCATAAATGGTATTCATCTCAAAAAATGTTGCTTCACATTTTGTTTAGTGTTCTCCTGGCCGTGGCTCTTCTTACCTACTTGTGTCTGCTTATAATCGCGGCGACGATATTCCGTGATTACGACTTTCCTAAAAACGTCATATCTATAAATAACAGGTATGTTATAACAGGTATGTTATAACCAACAGGTATGTTATAACAACAGGTATGTTATAACAGGTATGTTATAACAGGTATGTTATAACCAACACAGCAGATTTCATAGGTATGGTAAATTTGTAGTATAATCACACCAATTTTGTTGCAAATCGCTTCATTTATAGCTTATTCAGTCTTTGTGTTGATTAGTTTGATTTCAGTGGATCATATTCATATGCCCTATGACACATTTAGACTGATTGCCTCCTACTTAATGAAGTTTGGTTTTTTCCCAGAAACGTCTACTTGGTGTTCTCGTATTTCTGGTTTTTCGTTGGTCTTCCAATGGGTGTCTTCTCCGCCATATCTCGGATCCTGAGGACAATGGTTGTGGGAGCTCTGATGTTGCCAAGAATTGATCACAGTGTTATGCCCGATGGCTTTCAACGGTTTGATCGAGGTAACCAACTTGCATAAGTGACATTAAGTGTACGGGGCTGATGCTTTCCGGGGGGGGGGGGGGGTTGAATGTTTGCCCATGTTATGGAGGATTGCTATGAAATAACACAGGCCTGAATTTAACATATGTTTTGATAGCTCTGCCTGAATTTTCTGGATTTGTCGTATAGCATTTGCCCGCATTTCATGGTTATGTAAAGTTTGGAGGGGGCAGTTGTGCCCGCGCTGTCTCGTACGCTTATGCCAACTTGTTGTCATGTTGCCATGCGTGATTCGGGTAAAACATAATAATTTTTGTATGTGTGCGAAAATTACGTTGTATAGGGGAAACATTTTTTGGTGACCCCCCCCCCCCTCCACGCATGTCAAAAATTTTGGGGAGAAATAATAATTAGTGACGGTCGCTGGGCAAACACCCCCCCCCGTACGCCCATGCAAGTTGTTGTAACGGTCATGGCTAAAAGGGATGGACGAAGGGGAGGTTTTCAAGATAGTTCAGAATTTATTGGGGTTATGTCAGTGACAGACACTGGGAGATACGATCTATGGGAAACCATTTAGCTCGGGGAAACGGTATGAAAATGTTTACGACCTTCATAGAATTTGGAAGTCAATTTCCGCGCTATTGGCTTTGCTCTTCTCGACTGACGTTCTCGCTCCAAATATATGTAGAGCTCACTGGTTTCAGCAAGCATCTTTATACGGTGATACTTATGAAAGCGACGTTAATTTCCGCCATGTTAGCTTCACTTTTCTCAAAGGCCGAAAGACAGATTTCCATCTATAGAAAGCGGAGATAGAGAGACAGAGACATGGAGACTTGGTCACATTGGCGTTAGCCAAGGGCCTAGACACCGAATGTATAAAACTATAATTTTACTATGTTTGTGATGGTACTCTGAGTGTATATCCACGTAGGGCAAGGTTGAGAAATATGCCTGCCACGGTGGGAATCGAACCTACAACCTTTGGAATACTAGCCCAGAGTAACATCACAAACATCATATTCACCTGAGTACATAACACTAACACAAAAAAATTATAATTTTAGTGTTTTTAGTCAGTACGCAGGCTACAGTCTTTATAACATTTTTTGTTTTGAAAGGTTTCAATGCGTACATCTGTTATCTTCACGTGCAAACAGCTTATAGAAGCCCAGTCCTTCGAGTTTTCTGTCAGATATTGAGTGACGAAACACGTAAGTTTTGACAATTTCTTTACAGTATAGGGTGCGAGTAAACCTCGTGAATTGTTCATAAATTTTACAAACCTTAGCATTTTCATCCGCGTTTGTATGTGTGTCCGTGTGTTTGTCAGCATGATATGATATTAATACGAAATTACTTTGTTGGACTAATCCACATTGTCCAAGGACAAATTGATCAAATTTTTGTTAAATTTGGATGAAAATTATTGGAAATTAGCATAACTTTGCCTTGCTTTGCCGGGCACAGGAAACTGAATGTGTAATTAGGCCATCGTATAATTTATGCATGATACATAACTTCTTTTGCTGGAGGAGCTATAGTCATACGCTATACTACTACTCATCTACTACTATTTAGTCGTATATTAGTTATTAGAGGCCGATGTGATCTAAATAGAGGGAGGGGGCTTGTTTCTTTTCAGCGCTTAATTAAAAAGGGAGGTGTTCAAAAGGGCTAAATAGAGGAAATATGGTCATAATAATAATTGTGTACCTTTTGTAGAATTCGTGAATAATTAATAAGGCTACAAACAAATCACGACGGGGTATTTAGGTCACATATGCACACTTGTAAACCGCAGTAAAGATCACAGAATCATGTTAGAGTGATGTTTATGAGAGTTATGAATACTAATCATAGATACTAATTCAGAAGCAGGGCGATTTATTAGAATCAAAACGCACGCATCACTAGATTTACGCTGTAAATGCATGCTGATGAAGCGTGAGATTTTCCCCATGGGCAGTGAATTCTATATAATAAAGTAAACAAATAAATTCATTTTACAAGTTTATTAAAGTATTCACAACTAGCGTGCAGCGTGAGCCATTGTTAAATGCCTATAAAGATCGGTCGCTCATATTTTAACTATACCACTTCAATTTAACACGAGCAGGAGCGCTTTATCAGATATAAAACACGAAAGCGCAGCTCGAGTGTTTTATATCTGATAAAGCACGGACTACGAATGTTTTAAATGGCTTAAAAAACGACGACTCCTACCTGATGAGGTTATTGGCGAAGTAATTTTAAAAATAAACGTTGTCTAAGCCGAGAAAATCAAAGCTAAAATTTATGTAAATTAACATGAGTTTTTATGAGATATATAACCACGGACACGGCAGTGATTTCCTTTGTCTTTTCCTCATGAATTTTCCTCAAAGAGTTTTTTAAATAATTTATTAAAGGACACAACAGGGAACGAAAATGGACATGTTCAGCTCAAGCTCGTGCCAGATGGTTTCTCGCCCTTACCTTGGCCCGCAACCCACAACTAGCGTCGAACCGTAAACCTGGTGGTGTTGAAGCATTAAAAGCACCTCAACCTGTTCAAGGTGGTTGTGTCAAACATGGCGACGTCAAAATTGAAGTTGGTCGGTATGGGTTAATACAAGATAAGTGAATGATATGCAGTACAGTAAAAACCCACATACAGTAAAAGAATAACTATTTTTTTGTATCAGGGTGAAGTTCTTTTATAATAGTAGCCTGCGCACGTTCTCATGACATCGATCAAACGATGTAAGAGGCTGCGCAACAGTGAAGCAAAGCTTGCCCCAAACTTTTCCAGGTTTTCCGGGAAAAAATACTCCAATCAGTGACTCCGTTTCGCGTTATTACCAACGACAATAGCATATGTTGGTTTTGATAATTCCCAACAAATAACTCCGGAGTCTCCAGACATTTTGGATACCTTGTCACACAAAAAGGTTTAGATATTGCCATATTGCCAATGTGACTGTAATTACGCATATATTTTTATAATAACTTCACTTCCGCGTTTGCTTCATTGTTTCGCAGTCTCTTGCATCGTTTGATCGATGTCATGAGACTGCATGGGAGTAGGCTATTATAATAGGTAGTTAGTGAGCAACGAGGCTAGAGTTGGTTCTTAACTGGTTCTTATTTCTAGGAATTTAAATGTGCCATTACGCTGGTAAGGTCACTCAGACAATGGCGGTCGTTTTAATGGGGTTAATGATGGACTCAGGCAACACGTCATGTCCGTCAATTTTGCGGGGTCCAAACAGGCGGTGTTTCAGCGCGGGGCCCCAAAGAGCCCAAGTTCCCCAAAAAACGCGACGCGATATTTACTATGAAATGTATTGTAATTTTTGTTTTTGGGGATGTGCGTCCCAAAAACAATCTTTTGACCAGTAATTTCGCAATTTTCGAAAGCTTATTATTCGAAGGGTATTGATGTAAACGTTTTCAAACTTTGTATACTTACTAATTTTGATGTGGTCTTTATAGTGATTTGGTTCATTTCTTTAATTTGGGCACTTTTTAACACTCGTCCCCAGTCCACTCATCAACTTCGGAACGGCTAATTCGGAGTTTCGACTGCGCATCCAAATGACGCGTTCTGAGTTGGAGTTCAGGCTGGAGCTTTGGAAGCGTTAAAATGTGCCATGTCAAAGTATTGAACTGTTCAATCATCATTTGTGTTTCAACTTAGTTGCCGATTACATGGAGCATTTTAAACCCCGGGGTTGAACTCAGCCCTGTTGACCGGGTTGAAATTTCAGCCCTGCCTGTAATACAAAACCCTATCAAAATCAAAATCAAACGCGCGATTACATGACAAAATTTTCAACTCAGGACCTGAACTCGGCCCTGGGTTGAAAATTTTGTCATGTAATCATTTCAACCCAGGGCTGAAATTATTCATGACCAAAAATGGAGGCTTTTACTTCCGGGAATCAATGCCGAGAACGTATAGCATTTAAACCCCGGGGTTGAAATCGTCCATGTAATCGCAACAATTTTCAACCCGGTTAACAGGGCTGAGTTCAACCCATAGAAATAATAGATATAGAATGCGTACTCCTATCTTTTCTCAGTGAAGTACGCATTCTATATCTATTATTTCTATGGTTCAACCCCGGGGTTGAAAGTGCTCTCCATGTAATCGGCCCCTTATAGTCACAATAGAACTGTCATCAAATAATTTTTGTACTAGCATATTTTTTTTACTGCATGTGTAAAGCAAATAAAGAAAGGTATTAATATTTTCTAAAATGTATGCGAGTCAACCGCGCGGAAGCTTAAGCACTAGTTAAAACACGAGTAGTAGTGCTTTATCTCTGCGCGTGTTTTAAATGGCTTAAAAAAAGACCCATCTTATGAGTTCATTGGCGAAGAAATTTTAAAAATAAACGTATTGTCTAAGCAGACTAAGCCGAGAAAATCAAAGCTGAGTAAGTTTATCTAAATTAACATGATTTTCTATCACATATAAAGATCCACACCCACCGGACGCGATTCGACAACGCCACGCGATTTTTGATTTTCACTGAACGATAACTTTGATCCTAGTTTAAATTTGCCAAATATTTAGAAGCGTTATAACATTTTGAGTTATTTGGTCTACATATCTTTTAAAATTTGCTCTCATTGGCTGTTTTATTGACTTTCAAAAACTAAAAACTCGCGTCGCGTTGTCCAATCGCGTCCGGTGCGTCTGGACCGGCCTTAAAGCCACCGACATGGTAGCGATTTCCTTTGTCTTTTTTTATGAATTATTAATGCTTTTTAGTGTGAAGTTTCACTTCACACTATTGTAATGGCTACCCTGGATTCCAGAGCCTTCGACAGTAAATAATAAATTGAAATGTCGCGAAGGCTCTGGTTCAACGGGGCGATTCTTTGATTAAGCCGCGCCAATCACAAAACCGAATTAGTGGTTTTAGTACAGATTCTGTACTAAAACCACTAATTCTGTTTTGTGATTGGCGCGGCTTAATCAAAGAATCGCCCCGTTGAACCAGAGCCTTCGCGACATTTCAATTTATTATTTACTGTCGAAGGCTCTGGAATCCAGGGTATGTAATGGCTGGCAAATTCACACGAATCAGTCAGTCAGTCAGTCAGTCAAACAGTCAGTCAGTCATAAAGTAAACTTTCCGGGGGGTGTAACGATTTATGTTCGTAGTGATTTATTGTACTTAGTCAGTACTTTGAAGGTTATTTAGGCAATTTCAGTTAACTTATTTACATATTCTGTTATCTTTTGCCAAGTTCACAAAAATTTGGAGGAGTCGCTTTCGTTATTGTAATTTTTTGTAAATTTTAGAACATTTGCTTCTCGTGTTGTGTAAAGGATCTTTACCCCGGAAAACCCGATTTTTTCTTTAGTAGCGCAAATGCGCATGCGCTATCAAGCCATAGTCACGATGGCGTGACGATATGCTAGGAAAGAGTGACAGTGCTGTTTTCAGATGTATAAATATTCAGACGTGAATATTGAGTAAATCTTTGAAAATCTACGCAAAATATAAATTGATCTTATGCATTACGGGCGTTCAATTAAGTGCCGATAATATTTAGACGGTATTATATTCATTATACAGAGCTAGGAAGGAGCTAGACCGCCTAGACAGTGCAGTCAAGTGTATAAACATTTCAGACGTAAATATTGAGTCGAAAATCTTTGACATTCTAGGCATTCAATTGAGTGCCGATATTATTTTCACGGCATACTCATTATACAGAGGTACAGACGTACAGTACGTGAGCAGACGCGAGACAGTGTTGTTTTCAAGCATATAAACATTTCAGACATGAATATTGAGAAAATCTTTGAGATTCTACGTAATAATACAATATGTAAACTTATGTTATGCATTACTGGCATTCAGGTAAGTGCCCATCGATAGTATTTAGACCGTGTATTCATTATACATTGTCAGGGGCGTAGGAAGCACCTGGAGTTTGGGGGGGCACCGGCTTGTAGGGGCACATTACTATCGGAAAGGGCACCTAAAAAATTTTTCCCGGAAATGTTGTCGACGGGGGGGGAGAAATTTCTCCTGAGGAAAATTTTCCGTCGTATCATACCGAAATTTATGTTTGTGACCTAATTTTTAAAAAAAATTTAGTATTTACAGCGAGATTAGCTTCTACAAAAGGGGCACTTTTCCTCACAAAAAAGGGCACTTTTCAACACAAAAAGGGCACTTTTTATCACAAAAAAGGGCACTTTTAGTCCTTTAAAAAAATTTGGGGGGGCACGTGCCCCCCGTGCCCCCCCGCTTCCTACGCCCCTGTACATTGTCATTGACTGTATAAGGTGCTACATCACAGAATAGGTGGCTACACTCAGTACAAAGAGCGAAAAATTGCATCAGATCAATAAAGCATAAACATCTATTAAACAGAAGCGGGCAAACGTTTGTACGGCGTTTACGAAGAAAATAACTTGCGAGACTATTAAAGAAATCAGTTGAGTCAGGGCTCCTTATTTAAATAAGAAAGACGAGGAGATAGCGAATGTGTTATCGCCAACGTGTTATCTCCAATCGCTTGGCTCGCCAACAAGCTTTATGCAATAGAAGAAAAAAGCAAGGAGGTACATGTAGCCAACGTGTACCGTTACGGACCTTGTCTTTGACCTTTGTTTACTGTCTAGCACAACGCCGTTGTCAACGGTGCAAATTCGTGTACAGTTCAACGATAACTCTACCAGATCGTACGAGAATCAATCTGTAGTATTCTGTACACAGAACTGTATCAAAGCTTGTCAAAACTGCTTTAAACACTGCTTAACTGTGAAACTATTGAAATTTAAAGTGACATTATTCAACACATGCGAAAAGCTGAAAATAGACGCGACACTGGGAAAAGTCAAAGGTCAATGAGACTTGTTATTGTAAAACATGTCACAATTAGGTTAAAATGCGGAAGCGGATGAAGCGGATCCACGGAACGGATATGCGGATAAAATACGGAATGGATGAGGATAAAACGCGTCCTTTTAATGATGTAACGACGTAGTGCTTATTATTCATAACATATCTTATACAGCTATTTCAATTATAGTTTTAGATAAATTTAGCATAGCAGTAGCCTCGTGGGGATGCTTTTAGCGACAGCGCAAATGCAAATGAAAATTTAGAATATGCAAAATTTGGTTGTTGGTGAAACAATTTAAATTTCGAATTGTCGCGTGTAGCATCACAATAAATAGATAAATTGCATCAGTTTCACAAGGCAAGTTTCTGATGTGTTAGGCTTGTTTCAAACGTCACGCTAAAAATGAAATACCTTTGGTAACTGTTTATTTCGTAGCGTAAGTCATCAGCTTTTCTAGGTTGTTCGCGACCCTGCATAGTTCTTGCAAGTGTCTTTTTCAATTTGAAACTTCACACTATCCTTGGATCCCTAGTTTATTGTTCTTTGAGCAACGTTTGCATATTAAAATAATGATTGGACATTCATTGGAAAACGTTTCTATGCATATGCGCAGTCGAAACTACGAATTGGTCAGCAGGTGGCCGTGGCAACGGAGTGTGAGACTAGGTACGAAGTTGACGCTATATGCCGACCCATTCTCGTACCCAGAGCCCTTCTTACGCACGGTGCGACGTGGGGCTCTGGCCAAATCCATAACCGGATACCATAAAAATATGGTAAGAAAACAATGTCCGGTGTTAGAACTAGCCAATCAGATGCCAGTTCGGAATATGGATTTGGCCAGAGCCCCTCGTCGCACCGCGTGTAAGAAGGGCTCTGGGTACGAGAATGATGCCGACCAATCTCGTACCAATAGATTCTTTGGCTCTGGGTACGAGATTGTATGGTATTGTATGAGATTGGCTGGTGGTAACGAGGGTAGCCTGCGTGGCCGACGCTCAATATTGCGTGATTAGTATATGCACAGGTATATGACATTTAACAATTATTCGCCGAAGGCGAGGTGATTATCGGGGAATATTCGCCGGGACGAAGTCAAGGTGAATATATACCGAACTTCTCTTGTTAAATTGTTAACAGGTATACAACCACAGAAATCACAAAGACAATTTACATTTATTTGTATAAAAATATAGAATTCTCACGCTCACAAATCACTTGTTTTGTTTTGTCTCGTCTCACATAATCTAATAATAAACGACCCCCCATCAACATGCTCTTAATGTTTCTTTTATGCAAACGTCAATCATGCTTACGTCACTTATATGGGGGGGGGGTCCACTATTCCGTACACACTCCCCTAAAAATTAAAGTTTAATTTTTATAGCTTCAAAACCGAATATCAACGTATATATTAAATGTTCAGTCCTCTTCCAACTGCGTTAGTTCATTTATTTTCTTGATTGCTTTCTTTGCGGCTTGTCTTCTGAGGTCTCTTTTCTTTCTCCGATTCCTTTTCTTCAACTTCTTTGTGTCGTTCGTTTGGTGTGCAGTGAATCTCAAGCGGACAGATCAACTGCAGTGGTCGTTCAATAGTATGCCCTTTGTGCAACAGCACAACTCCTCTGACTACACCGTCTTTTCCACGAACTTGTCGAAGCACTTTCCCTTTTTTCCATTCTCCCCTGTTCTTCTCTTCTCCCACTACCAGGACAACGTCTCCAATCTGTGGTGCTTCGACAACCTTGTTATTGACTCGTTGGCTCTCCAGTAAACTATGCACATATTCCCGCTTCCATCGTTTCCATGCATCATCTTTTGCTTTTCTAAGTCTTCTTTGCATCTTGGTTAGCTCGTCTTCTTCATCTTCAACATCGTCGAACATGTAAGAGTTTTCTCCCCGAATGAGTATGTTTGGCGTCAGGACTTGTTCCTCCCCACCATCACATTCTACGTAAGTTAACGGACGGTTGTTCATGTTGCTTTCGATGTTCAATACGACCGATTCCAAACCTTCAAAGAATAGGTGTGATTTTCCCAAGGTTTTGTATAAGGTTTTCTTGATTTCACGAATCAGCCTCTCGTAGATGCCTCCCCACCATGGGGACTTTGCCAGATTAAATCTCCAATAGATATCTTGGGTTGCGAGGAAATCCTGAAGCTTCTCACTTTTTCGAATTAGCTTAGTCCACTTTGCAGTCGCTTTGAAAGTAGCAGCATTATCGGAAATCATCAAGCGAGGTCTTCCTCTACGTGCAATAAATGCGTTAAGTTTTCGCTGAAATTCACCAGCTTCTTGAGTTTTAGTTAGTTCCAAATGAACGGCTCTGCATGCAGCGCAAGTAAAGATTAGAACGTAACACTTTCCTTCTTCCTTTTTGTTGACCTTGTACCTTAACGGTCCGGCAAAATCCACGCCAGTGATCTCAAATGGCTTGCTGGTCTCAGTTCTAAATTTAGGCATGTTACTTGTCGCTGTCGCTCCGTATGGTTTCGTGGAGTACAGTTTGCAAACGTTGCAATTTTTTATCACCTTCTTTACCTTCGATCTTAGTTGAGGGATCCACCAGTTTTCTCGCAAGGCGGCCATTGTATTTGCAACGCCTAGGTGCATAATTTGATTGTGTGTATGTGTGATAAGCTTCTCTGCAAACAATCCTCTTTCGATAAATGTTGGAGTATATCCCCGAACTCTTCCCCTGCATTTGAGAATGTTTGTGTTCTTATCTTCGAAGATTTTCCAGCCAGGTGCTTGTAGAGTTGGGTTAATATTTTTCTGAATCCTTATCACCCATGTATTCTTTGCTTTCACGATTTCTTCGTTTCCGATGGGCCCAGATTTTCTTTTCTCTTTACGCCGTTTCGCCAAACAATTGTGCAGGAATCTCAGTGCCCACGCTGTAACTCTTAATGTGCGCCAATACGAACTTCTTTCCAGCAGCGCATCCCATTCATCAGGCTCTCGTTCTTTGGTAAAAAAGACCTCCACCATGCTGGGTTTGCTCTCTTCGCTTACGTGTGTAGTAACCTTAAGCTGGGGTTGTTTGGGCCACTGTTCTACATGTAACAACCACTCAGGACCAGTGAACCATCCGTCTTTTACCATTTTCTCAATTGTAGCTCCCCTGCTGCCTAGATCCGCCAAGTTCTCACTTGATGGACAATACTTCCACACCAAACCAATCTCGTTGGTAATTTCTGCTATCTTCTTAACTCTATTAGCGACGAAAGTCTTCCAAGGCTTTCCAGGGTTACTTAACCAGTAAAGCGCGACCATACTGTCCATCCAGATGATGATAGACTTAACAGGCAATCGCAGTAGCGCATGGTATAAATTCCTTGCCATGTTCGCCGCCATTTGACCACTCACAAGTTCCAACCTCGGTATTGTGGTGTTCTTTTTGGAAATTCGAGATTTGGACGTTAACAGACCTTTCACAGTTCCTGATTTGTGCTCTACCACTGCGACTGTTGCTGCACAGCAAGCAAGGTTACTAGCATCTGCAAACAAATGGAGTTGAATGCCTTCAATCACGTCCGATTTCTTAGTTATAGCTCTAGGAACTTTAACATTCTTCATTTGATTGTTCCATTTGATCCACTTTCTTTTCAAGGATTCTGACACTTCAGCGTTCCAACCTTTTCTTTCTTCACAGGCATCTCGAAATATGTTCTTACCCTCAGCCATGGTAGGCGATACCATTCCCAAAGGATCGTAGACTCTTCCTAACCGACTCAAAATGCTCCTCTTTGTTATTGGTTGGTTCTCAGGCATGGTTGCTGCTTCGAATTCTAATGTATCTTCTTGTTTATCCCAGACGTGTCCGAGTATTTTACTTGGGTTTGGCATGTTTTCGTCTTCGAGGCACGCGATGTTTGATTCCCACTTGTGGATTGGGAATTTGGCATCCTCAAGAATGATGGAGCTTTCTTCTTTAAATTTCCTCAAGTCGTCAGTATCACTTCCAGTTTTCATGATGTTATCAACATATGTATTCTCTTTAAGAGCTGTCACAGTTTCCTCAAATCTTGTCGGCTGTTGCTCAAGGTGGTATCCCAACGTTGCTCCAAGCAGAAAGGGACTGGCTTCGACTCCGAATGGTAATCTTGCAAACCGGAAATGTTCCTCTTTTCCATCGATTTCGAACAGGAATCGAAAAGCATCTCTGTCCGTTTCCTTAACACCAATTTGCAAAAAGGCTTTCTGGATATCTGCCAGAAGTAGATTTGGTGTCATACGCGCTCTGATCAAGATGTCCCAAAGTAGTGGTTGCAAGGACGGTCCAGTGAACATACATTCGTTAATACTGTTAGCCAATGGGGCTGGTTTAGCGCTAGCATCAAAAACCATTCTGATCTTTGTTGTTGTTGTTGTTGTTGCGTTTTCCCTGATCACAGGCTTGTGAGGCATGTAATATGTACGTTTTCCTGCTGGCTTTTCTGGGGCTTTTTCTACGATGCCATTGGCAAGCTGATCTTTAACTATCTTTTCATACTCTACTTTTAATGATCGATCTTTACTCAACTTCTTGTTGACATTGGCTAGGCGTATTCTGCTCGGCTGTTCGTTAGTACCGTACAATCTGGCTCCAGGAATCCATGGTATACTTACTTCATATCGACCGTCCTCTTGCCTTGTTACACTTTCTCGAAAGTCAGTCAGCACCTCCATCTGGTCTTTCTCGCTGCGGTCCTCAACACCGAGTACACCCAAACTGTAAAGCTGCTCACACTCATTGGTCTCCCGAACAAACATGCACTGGTCGCTACTGTAATCATCTCCCCCATGGATAAGCCAACCGAAAGTGGTTTCTTCGACTACTGGATCTCCTTCGTTTCCCTTGAGCACTTGTTCAGTTCTGATTCTGCTGTAAGTTTTATCTCCCAAGATGAGGTGTATTGGATAGTTGCCTGAACGCACCATGTAGAACATCTTATCCTTTGCATGACAAAATTTCTGTTTCAACTGGCTAATGTCGGGTCTTTGTACTGTTGTGAAGTCGCGCATCTTGGAACCGGTTACTTGCACACTTGGAATCTCTTCTTGCACAGTTCCATCCAGGGAATTAATACTAACTTGGTAGATTGGCATAGATTGCTTACTAATACCATTCAATGTTACAATTTCTCTAGACTCATGGTGAACTGGGGTTAACTTCAGTTTCTTTGCTGCATCCCGAGAGATGAAATTCCTTCCAGATCCTGTGTCAAGAAACGCCCACAATGTTTCTTCGCCTATTTTGACAGGAACTATGGCTGGGAGGGACTTTTCTTCTACAAATGTACTGTAACCATGTAACACAGGCTCTGTAGTTGGTTTATCTGGTTTCTTCTTGTCACACAAGCTGGTATGGTGTTTCGATCCACATTTAAAACAGGCACGACTACGACATTGGTTTCCCCGGTGTCCTGCTCGCCCACAATTAAAACACAAGTTGTTTTCGACGAAAAACTTCTTTCTTTGTTCCATTGTCGAAAGTGTCTTACACTCATCACTCCAATGCTCTTCTTGGCAAAACATGCAATGTGGGTTTTGTTTTCCTTCATTCTTGCGAGTGAACCAATTTCTATCCCTACGTCTATCATTTGGGGGTTTTGAACTCACATCTACCTTATTTCTCCTCAACCAAGCTTGTAGATTTTTAATAAGATCTTCCATATTCCAATCTTCCCACTTTTCATCCACTCTCACGATGTCAGGTTTGACATGGGGCAACTTATTTAGGGTGGTCATTACAAAACCTTGCAACATATCTCCCTGTCCCAAAGTCTGCAAGGCGTCATAGTTATTGCTAAGTTTTTCATAAAACTCCTGAACCTTTTCATAGCTTGACCCTTTCACCGCATCTAGATTGATTATTTCGTCCAAATGTGCATTAATTACCAATTTGGTTTGGCCATATTCTTGCTTAAGTCGATCCCATGCCATTTTATATCCCAAAGTACTTGGTTTTAGATTTGATATGCGATCTCTTACCTTTGGCACAACTGATTCAAGGAGATATCCAAACTTTTCTTCATCTGAGATGGGTCTTTTATCGACTTGTGTGAGAAACATATTCTCAAAACGAACCCAATCTGCGGCAGTTCCTTTAAATGCAGTGATTTTCAGTTGAGGAAGTTTCGCTGGACTGCTTTTCGCAGATTTCTCCATTTCGATTTTTCTTTCCGTCATTTGCAGCTCAGCGGCGAACTTTTCCTCCCACATCAACTTTTCTCGCGCTCGTAATTCGATCAAACGTTGTTCATCCTTCTCGCGTTGCACATATTGTTTACGTCGCTCTGCTTCGTCGTCAATTTCCCTCTGCCTTTTTTCAAGAATTTGCGAAAGCTTGTTCATTTTAGGCAAGCATTGCGCGTACTTATCCTTCGTGTCCTTTTTCCATTGTCGTATTGCTCTCTGAGTTTCAGCTCCTCAATCAATTTTAAGCTCTTGTACACTTGCAACAAAATTATTTACTTTATCAAATACGGCGTCTGTTCGTTTCTTTACAACTTCGATCTCTGCGTAATCGCCTTCTTCAATAATATCGTCGATTGGCTCGAGATAGTACTTTAGTTTTTCGATTTCCTTGTCTATTTCAACCTCCTTCTGTTTTTCTGCTGCCTCCTCGCTCATTGTTATATGTTCCACGTCGTACAAATCGATAAATTCTCGTATTTACATGACCAAATAATGTGTTGTTGTCGTTAAATAACTCGTTAAATACTTAAATTACCGTTCGATTTTTTGTTCAATCCTTGTCACGGCACCACTTATATACCGAACTTCTCTTGTTAAATTGTAAACAGGTATATAACCACAGAAATCACAAAGACAAATTACATTTATTTGTATAAAAATACTGAGAATTCTCACGCTCACAAATCACTTGTTTTGTTTTGTCTCGTCTCACATAATCTAATGATAAACGACCCCCCATCAACATGCTCTTAATGTTTCTTTTATGCAAACGTCAATCATGCTTACGTCACTTATAGGGGGGGGGTCCACTATTCCGTACAATGGCCCTAATGGGTAAATATTAGATATTTGAGCATGTCACTCGATTGAATTATTGCCAACGTCAGAACATATTGCCAACGTCAGAACTTATTTTTCACCCTGCTCGGTTTCCTCGAGGAATATATTCAACATTCCCCTCTAATAATCCCCGTGAATAAATCGCATATCCCTCGTTGCCTCTAAATAACCTATACATATTGCCAACGTCAGAACAGATTGCTGACGTCAGAATACTTGAGAAAATTCATAGCAGTAACTGGAAAGTATTCAACCGTACAAGATCCACTTGATATGTTCAAAATATACATAGACATGCAGTTGATTAAAACCGGGCTTCCTCTCGCAAACATTGATTCAGTCAACCCTGGAATAGTGCGACGTACATTTATCAGCGTAACCTACATTTTGTCCAACACTCCAACCAAGGGTTTTGTCTGTGGAAACGGTAAGACATTCATTTGATTTGTTTGCCAATGATCAAAGCATGCATAGACATTCAATGAAGAGTTTTATTTGTAGTCAAATAATAACAAGACACCGCCATTATCCATACAGCCAGATAGCAACTGGAATTTTGTCTAACAAAGTTTTCATTGAAGTTCGAAGCTTATCCCATACCTGTGTTAAAAGCGGCTTTCTGATTGGTTTAGAGCAGGTGAGCTTGTCGTCGAGCTCACCTGCTTTTTGCCGAACTCACCTGCCTTTCGCCCGAACTCACCCGCTAAACTGCTTACGTTGCAATAACAATAACAAATATGGCGGACAAGATTTAGCCGATAAACCTAAACTTTAAATTAAAGAACTTTTTTCGGTGACTAACATACCGAGACTGAAGAAAAACCAAAGAGAAAATGCAGTAAAGGTAATGTAGACGTAGATAAAGAAGTATTTTCTTGCCCAGTGATTTTTTTGGCCGGGAAAATGTTCACAAAACATCGACGAATATATCGCGAAGAGCTACAAATGTGTGTATGGCTCGGTCAGCCTCGGTGTATGGGATAAAAACCAAACGTACTTGCAGGTTCGGTGAGTCCGGGATTGGACGCACCTCGGGTGGCTGGAAGTTTCCCGAACTCACCTCGCTTCGCTCGGTAAGTTCGTTAAACTTCCAGCCACCCTCGGTGCGTCCAATCCCGGACTCACCTCCCTGCAAGTACGTTTGTTATAAAACCAGCTGCTCATACAGTATCTATACCTCATATGTGTCCCCGATTCCTCTTCAAAGGAATACTCTTAGCAGTTTTATTAGCAGTTAATTCGAAATACGGCCATAAATCGTTGGTTTCCACAATCAATTCAGTTCCGTTTCAGAAGAGATATAACTACCTCTCAATAATACAAACGGAACACCGGCGTGTCGAGCGAAGGTTCTTTCCAACGAAAGGCCTTCACAGACGAGCTTCACCGGCTCAAATATGCGTGTTGTATATGCTCTCTCGAATATGCGTATATTTTACACGTTTTTGACGACTGGAGCAACCGTAAGTCATTTTCCGCAAGCTTTTATTTCTTTGAGAGCAAGTTATCCAACGTTTTATGGTTTAGTTTATTTGGTATTACTTTAATTTTCAAGTTATATTTGACGATTAGTAAGTGTTCCATGCAGCTTTTATACGCCGAAATTCAAGAGCTACTTGTGCTTCGTGTATTCAACATGGCCGCCATATTTTTGTATCTGCGAAGCAGATATACAGCTAATTGCATTAAGGCCCCGTTTACACTATACCGGATTGCATCGAAGCGTAGCGATTTCATACCGGATTCGGCTGCTGTTTATACTACGCCACAGTAATCCGGTACGCGACGCGGAGCAAAAATCACTCCGCTTTGGAGGTGATATGAAAAGTAATCCGGTATGTGCCGGAGCAGTGTAAACAGGCTAATCCGGCACGCTTCAGTACAAAATTTTGGCGTGTATGTTTTAACATTGTCGCTTTTATTTGCTCGCTTTTACAATACTTTATAGCTGTTATTTGTTTCGCCTTGCAACCTTTTACTATTTCTGCCGAATACAAGTAAAGAAAACGATATAACATTGACTTTTCGCTTTCGAAAGAGCAAAATTTAAAGAAATACTCTGAAATTTTGGATTAGAGCGAAACGAAGCAACGTCTGCGGTCATGCTTTTTAAACAAAGTTATACTTTACAAAGAAAACGAGTGTTACTTCTTGTTTTTGTATCTGCGCGGAGCGCTAGATACTATGCGATCGAGTTTGTGCGTTAAACACTCAGGTCGACTAATTAGGGCTGTATGCCTGCGAACAGGCCGTAAAACAAAGATGGCGGCTTTCTACAGAGTGACGATTGTTTTATCCTAGAAGATTAATTTATTTATTTCGCCCAATCATTATGGTAATTATTTACATAAAAGTATTAAAGCTACAACTTTAAATAGGGCAAGGAGTCTAAAGAAACCTTCATAGGCTTTTAAGGTAAGGCCCTAGTTTAATGTCCAGTGCAAAGTTTTATATTGTGTCAATCAGTGCCAGTAAAAGTATTTACAAGAATATGAAGATTAAACAATATTGCTTTCACTAGTAAGAATAAAGTACATAAGAAGGAGAAAATTTGGAGAGCTATAAAGACATAATCTGTTAATTACATGAATATGAATTAGACTTCCTTGTTTAAAATATAAGTTCACTAGATTGTATTGACAATGTCAATTATGTATTTTCGATTTTTTTTTAAAGATTGGTAGTGATGTTATTTTTGTCAAGCTAACATCAAGATTATTCCGAACATCCACTCCTTTCACTGAGAGTGAGTGCTTAGTATAATTAGTTCAATGGCAATGCATATGAAGTTTCGACGAGTTTCGGGTACTGTATTACTATTGGTGAATTTGGCTATTTGCCATAAAAAATCCGTAAATGAATGTGGCAAGTTTTGTAAATGATGGTATCGGAACATGAATAAGCTTATCAAGTTAGTAAGTAACATCAGTAACATCTTAAAGCCTTTTCGTGAGTAACCATACATTGCATGGTTACTCACGAAAAGGCTTTAAGATGTTACTTCGAAAATGGCATTTGCAGCATTCTGAGAACACATTTTGTTAAAAACTAGGTTTTCAAAACACTGTTTTAATTAATGGTATTAAATTACAATGTTTTAATTAATGGTACTATTATATAAGTGTGATTTGTATTATTCGGTACAAGATTTTTACAGTTTATGTGTCTGCCACTGGCAGTTGACTGACAGTTGATTGCAGTAGAGAAGAGACTGCAATCTGAACATTTTTTTGTCCTATCATCAAATATAAACAAAGTGACTAGCCGGCAGCTGGGTATTTATGATAGTGACTATAGTTAAATATAAAAAAACTTTTGTTTGCACTAGCTTTCACCGAGCTTACCGTTAGAGTGTATGGTAGGCACTGTGTGCGGAAAGTGAAACGCAGTCCGGGTCGGGTTGTGTTTTGTTTGACTTAGCATTTTTTCTTAGTCACTATATAGCCGGCAGATTACTAAATAGCTGGCTGCCAGCTGTATAGTTACTTCGAAATTTAAATGTTTACTCAATAATTATGAATGAAATTTTTTCATAGCAACCATGGATTTCCTTTGCGCAGATACATGTACGCTTAGCGTACCTATTTTTTACCTCGTAATCTCGATAAAGGTCCAGACAAACCGCACGCGATTCGACAACGCGACGCGATTTTTTAGTTTTTGAAAGTCAATAAAACAGCCAATGAGAGCAAATTTTAAGAGATATGCAGACCAAATAACTCAAAATGTTATAACGCTTCTAAATATTTGGAAAGTTTATTAAACTAGGATCAAAGTTATCGGTCAGTGAAAATTGAAAAATCGCGTCGCGTTGTCGAATCGCGTCCGGTGTGTCTGGACCTTAAGACAGTGGTTTTTACCATTCAATGCTACATTTTGCTAGGTCTTTTTAGTGTAAATTGAATATTTATCGTTCTATAAATTAAATCCTTCGCGAAATTTTCAAGAACTAGAAATTAATTGTAAACAACAAAATAGTCCTCAAATAATACTTTACGGAGAAAGGACGCGGGCGGCGGACCAGAAACTAAAGATTAACTTGTAGTGGCCTTACATTGCAGGTGACTCTGTAACTTCAATCATCAATGATAGGCTAGCAATACTCGTGGCAATAACACCGCTTCACATAATTCAAACTCTTCAAGCACAATTAATTCACAAAGCAACCAACAGGCGCCTCGTAATGATGTTCTCAAAACAATAAAATATATATCTTATCGAAATCACCTTAAAGGGCGACCGAATGCGTTTTTTCTCATCTAAACTTAGTTAATAGCGATAGGTCCAGACAACTGTCCCTTATCCTGCCAACTAGCCCCATCTAGCTTCTCTTCCCAATCAAACTCCCCACTACCCAAGATCTTTAATGGAGACACTCTGTCACCTTCCAAAACACTACAATGTCTCCGAGTGAGTTACCATGGGACAACCACAACCCCAAGAACCGAAATTGAGAAAACATTAGAGATACCCGTCCGAATTACAAATCGATCCACGAATCTTAATAAACAATGCGCGACTAATTTAATACGAGTAAGGCGATGCAATCCGTAAATTATCGATATTAACTACAATCATCAGGCCAGCAAAACTAAACTCAAACTAGTTCATTTGAATGCTAGGTCTCAAAAAAACTGACTTCACTTCACCAATTCGACGGCTTCGCTATATCCCATAAATTCGACTGCTTGTTCCCAGTTGTTGTAAAAAGTTTGAAACAAACTGTTAACAACTTACAACAAGCTGGTGGCATTATCAGACACGTTAAAAGGTTGTTCTAAGAGAAAAGTATGCAAAGAATAAGGTTACAGACATTTTAAATGTCTTCGCTAAGGAACGCGGAACGGTCAAAAGAATTTCCAAAATTCTACAAAAAATACAACGAGGAAAAGGAAGCTTTCGACGAAGGGAAACGAGAACAGAGTTTGAAAAATGTTTGTCAAAAATGGATGGCGGCGTTTTACGACAAAGCGAGCAAGATGCGCGTGTTCTTGGCTTTGACTAGGGGTCAGATTTGGCTTCAAGAAAAAGGTAAGCAGTTTAGCTGAAGGTGGCGTTCCAGTTATATTCATGTCACTGGTGGCGAGTAATGTGCATATAGTTATATCAAAGCGGTCAGTGTTTCTGTACTGACCGATTTGATATAACTGTATGCACATTACTGACCTCACGTGCTTCTCAACACTGACTGCTCTGATATAACTGTATGTACATTACTCGCCTCATGTGTTTCTCAACACTGACTGCTCTGATATAACTGTATGTACATTACTCGCCTCGCGTGTTTCTCAACACTGACTGCTTTGATATAACTGTATGCACATTAATGGCCTCGCGTGTTTCTCAACACTGACTGCTCTGATATGATTGTATGTACATTACTGACCTCGCGTGTTTCTCAACACTGACTGCTCTGATATAACTGTATGTACATTACTCGCCTCGCGTGTTTCTCAACACTGACTGCTCTGATACAACTGTATGCACATTATTCGCCTCGCGTGTTTCTCAACACTGACCGCTTTGATATAACTGTATGTACATTATTCGGGAGTGTTGAACATTAATAATAATAATACTGTAGGAAGATTATGTATGGGTATGTTTGTATTAATATTTATTCATATATTAAATAGGACATAGTCTGGCTCCCTGCGATTCAATGTGCAGCTCTAACGTTTTCAAACATCTCAATTTTAGCCAAAACCATTGAATCAAAGAACGAAAGTACGGAACGACGGATCTAAAATTATCGCGAGATGTTGCAGAATTGAGGTCGAGGTTTAATAAACACCGTTCTGAAATT